GCCATGCTATATATGGACGCTCACAGAGTGCAAGATATACAGAATCTTAATGGAACATCTTCAAAGTCATTCCAAGGGAGATAAATGCATTATAGCTTTACGACAAGAAAGGTGTCATTCGGGAATAATAAGTACAATGGAGAGAAAGAAAGGAGAACCCATCTACAACGAGTGCATGGTTCTGTGTGGTGAAGGAGGAACTTCCTGGAAGGTGCGGCCAGGAAAGTACGGACAGGGCAGGTGGGCATGTTCCTCAATTCTCGCCGCAGCAAGATAAAAGCAAGACAAAGCATGGCATCAATTTTTGTGTGCCTACAGCATATATTTCATTTTTTTGCCCTCTTCAGGCATGTCGGCTGGGGGTCGAGTGCCTGATTTTCTTGTCGTACGCGCCTTGGTTGCGAGTGTTACGTGCCAGATTCTTTCTAGTAGAAGAAGGGCATTTCTAACTGAATATCAAATATGAAGAAGAAAAAGAAAAAGAAAACAAACGCAAAGGAACAGTGGGGTCTTTATACCCCTTGGGGCCAAAGCCCTATCCTCGCTTACTCTGGAAGGAAGGTACGACTGCCTGCGCAAACGGGAAGGAACGACCAACGGTACAATCCCGAACGGGAAGGTATGAGTTCCGCAAGTGCCAATCGTGACAGCGAGGTCTGTCATCGAGCGGGTTCGGTTTGAGATTGTACCGAGTGTTGGTTACTCGGTCTTTGCATGCTGTTGCTTTCCCACGTCCAACTCGTAAGACACCTATAGCGGGTTTTGCTTTAGGTATTGCTGTGGACATTATCGCCGACGTTGAGTCACATAGGTCGAATGTAGACGCGCATGTATTGCACCGCAATGCCAAGGGCACGATCCAGAGAGACATTTCGCGTCGGCTGGGTATTTTGCCGGGTTTGGAGGTGACATTAAAGCTTTGCCAGCTGCATCCCGACCCTTACAGGCGTCCATTCTTCCGATATCGCTTCTCCGAATTGCTGGCTCGTTTTATTCCATCCCGGTGTCTGACGGCAGTGCGTACAAAGCTCTCATTCCGGACTTCCCTCCCGTACTTGATCATGTTCAGTGGAGCTTCCATGCTTGAACATGTGCGGAGTGTTAGGCATTTCCGCAACGCATCTATCCCAGGCAGGAGAAAGACTACACGTGATGTTCATAGTCTCCATAGATAAACGTCACATGTGGAAGAAATAAAAAATGTGCCACTTTTCATTATGATCGTGACGAGTCTTTTTTCTTGTGGTAGAACCAGACCCAGGTATTCAAGTTTTGGGAAGTCACCACGCAAGTTCATGTGGGGTGGCAGGAAAGTAGGTATTCACCAAATTGCTTGAACACCACAAAGAGAAGTATGCCCCAGGGTCACACACGACGGCGACATACGGGGGCCGACTCCTTGAGCCCTGCAAATATAAGACGAGGGGCACAGAGGCTTTGAATCAGGTGTTTCCAATAGTCCTCCGACTCGCGTTTATTGCTCTTGTTTCATCTCCACCATGCTAACGACAATTTCCCCTTCTTCCATCAGCAATGAGTCAGTGTTCTTGACATCAACAGCATGACGCATCCCACGACTCCCATATATGATATAGCGCTTGATTTATCTCTTGATTTTCCTGGAAAACGTCTCCAGTCGTATTCGCCAGTCAGTTTGAGGCGAATAGTCCACTCCACCAGAAGTTCTCGTGTTAGAGTCGGTGAATACAGCCAATCGTCTCTCGGGAATGAAATGGATAATTGTATTGTTATTAACCATCCGAATTCCCTTCTTGACCTCAATGATTGCGAAGATTCTCACCGTATCTTGGACCGCAAAGCTCCGTCCGCAAGGACATTGTACTTCATGCTTGTGAACTTGCATATAAAGTGAATACGGTTGAGTATCCACTTCAGCTTTGGGCGAGCGAATTGACAGTGTTTGGAGAGAAGGCTGTCCGAGTCGTCGAATGTATGCTGTGTCCGTCAAACCCCGTGGAGAGGGTGTAAAGTTTTCTCCTTGATTTTTCCATTAAGGATATGGTTGATACCGAAAGGTTCTCATTTTCAGATCCGACATTTGAAAGAGCGTAGGGTTTGCGCCATGAGCGCGGTCCGTATAACTTTCCGTTCAAAAAGTTGATGATAATGATCGCCCGTCATCAATATATTTATTGTAATAGCAGAGCCGGCAAGATGTGATTTCCCATCGATCAGGTTTCACTTAATTGTTTCTCAGTTTGATCTTATTTTCAGGCGAGCGATGTCTCGGTGATTGATAGAGGAACTCTTGCAAGATGAGCGTCGGCTCAATGATGGTAATGAGGGACTTCTGGAAGTGTTCAACGATAGTATCGTAAAACAGTTGCTGCTTATCCTGAAGACTATCGGGAGAAGCATGGGATCTGGCCTCCAGTGCCACCGGATCTTCTGCTACGGAAGGGCTCTTCGTGGCGTAGATCTCAGCGTTTGCATCGCTCAGTTATAGATAGATCTATAGGAGGTAAACGTTAGCCAAAACCAGCACTGATATGGATGCGATACTCACACCTAGTTCCGGGGTTGTTCGGGTCGTATGCCCTCCTCTTAATCTCTTCGGATTTTGGTTAGATCTCAAGGGAACTGAGCTGAGAGCCGTTTCTATGCTTGGGTATAGTCTCGAATCCGAAGACACAGTGAGTGAGAGGGCGTGGAGGTATGATATAATGGCTCATATACGCAACAGGCTAGATGTATTGAAACGGATAAAATTAGAATTGATGTCCGAAGATAACAGAGAAAGGGGTCGAAGGGAAAGTCATCAAAGAGTGGCATTGCTTGAGTGACCGACAACAGGGATCGAGTCACCGGCAGTGAGGAATTTAGTACTTGAAAATAAATGACCATATTTAACATATGAAAGAGACGAATATCTTGAGATGGGGATTAAATAGGAAGAGGGAAGAAGAGAAAAGAGAGAGAACAGGAAAACAAACGTGACCTCAGAAATGCTTCGGTACGTACCATCCCAATTTGGTCTATATAGTATATAGTATATTTGAGAAGGGAAGAAGGAGGAAACAACAGATGTGATATTCTCTTCAATAAATAGCCTATGGGATCCTGGCCAACAAAGCAAGACATCATCCTCAAAATTATTTGCTCAAATTTTCATATCCTAAGCCCTCTTATAGCCATGATCGGGCTCACTAGGTAGAAGTTTGATGTCAAAGCTGTGGTGAGAGGTGCAGACGCTACTATTTTCTCGATTCTCTTTAGTCACTGATAATTCTAGATTATAATCTACAATCTCTGAATAAATGAAGGCATCGCTGTCCCGAAGTCGGCGGCAGACGCTTTAAAAAATTTGGGAAGCCACTGCGCCAATTTATGAGGAGATGGTGATGGAAATAAAAGTGAGTGAATTTGAGGACATTGGGGAATTCATAAGGGCTCAGATATGTTTGAAGAGGACATTTCAAGGCCTCTCTCTAGTTGGGAGAGGAAAAAAAAAGAGATGCTCACATGCCGATTTGAACGACAGACCTCGTGATGGACTAGAAAAGTACTAGTCACGCGCTCTACCAACTGAGCTATGCGAGCTGGTTAGATATCAGCCTATCCGATGTTTGTAATATAATATATCCTCTCTTGATAAAGATATAGTATACTCGTATCAAAAGGCGGTACAAAGGCTTCCAGATCCATAGATCAATCCATAATAAGGGGTTAATGCCAAGGCGGTGAACATTCCATACTTGCACGTACTTTCGTCTTCCAAGCTCAATACTTAGCTCAGCGTCATGACTCGTCTTAAGCTAACACCTCTCTAAACTTTGCCTTTAAGTGTCCAGCTTTTCTCGCACTCGTGGGCTGGGCAAGCATGCTTACAAGAACAGTTCGTCAATTTCAGCCATTTCACAACAGCCTTAGACTTTCCACCCTCTACAGTACTATCCGCGTTTTCGCTAACACCACCCACGCTTCATATTACGCGCAGTTCATTATATAGCCTTTCAAACAGGAATCACCTTCTCAATCACTATGAGTCCCATACTATATAGGTGGAAACCACCTAACTGGTGTCACCTTTTTTCAAAATAGTTATCATATGACCTCGAGAAGTAATAATGTAGATGATAAGTTGAACACTATGTGAAGTTATTCTCCCTCCGCCGCCCTGCTCACATAACCAGCTCGCATAGCTCAGTTGGTAGAGCGCGTGACTAGTACTTTTCTAGTCCATCACGAGGTCTGTCGTTCAAATCGGCATGTGAGCATTTTTTGCCTTCTCCAGCTATAAATATTTTTGAAATCTGTAACGGGGTCTTTTTTTTAGCTCTTTCCCTTCATTTAGCCAATCTTGATAACCGCGAAGTAAAACAAGCGCCAATTGGACTGTGTACGGGTTAGTAAATTCATGGCTGCTACCTTCGAGTACCGCGAGGTCTGGAAAATGGGACCTTAACGTGCATTGATGAATGTGTGTGTAGCCGTCTTACCATCCCACCCTGACATTGTCAGGGTGGGTCTGTCCCACATAACAGAAGATTCCCACAAAACAGAAGATTTTCAATTTTACCACTGCTTTAAACACATATTTACATATAACCACCACGACTATCTAAATACCATTTCCCAGGACTACCATATCTAGCCGATAATCTAGCTTCACGTTCAGCTTCAGCCGCGTCCCTTGCTATTTGAGCCTGTTGTTCAATTTCTGCTAGCCGGGCATGTTTTTCCTGTAGCTGTGACGTGCCAGGTCGATCAATAAAGAAAGAGTGCATATACAACAGAAGAGTGTATTCCGACGAAGATAACTAAGATGAAGAAGGAAAGAAGAAGCAAGTTGCAAAGTGGGAGACAGCTTGCTAATATAGCTAGCCGCTGACCGCTTTGCAATAATGCCAATAACAAACAAGCAAACAAGCAAACAAACATAGCGATCGTAACAGTAGCCTCTGAATCTTCTTCTGGTCGGCCTCCTGCCTTTTTTTGATCATCCGATTTGCATTTGCCGGTGTGAGTGCCATTGGACCTGCATTGAGAATTGATTTGCGATTTTTGGGAGCGCTTGCTCGCGATCTGTGGTCCTGAGACTTCTTTAAAGAAACCTCGCAAATTTCAAGCCGTTGGGCCAGAAGAGAACTTGCGTTTATACTTCGACGAATATGCCTTTTTATATGTATAGATAAATCATCTAGCTCAACCAGATCATTAAGAAGCTTATCATTAAGCTTCTTAACCTGTAGGATAGTATCTGGTAGTGAATTTGTTGCTGAACTGGATGGCTCGGGGGGGGGTGATGGTATATTGATGATCCTTAGGACTTCCCCCTCAAGTGCCTGCTCCTGTAAAGGACCGATAATTTTCTCGGGATCAAAAGGAAAAATACCACAAGAACTAAAAGATGATCTAATAGTTCGTTGGGTAAAGGCATCACTTCGTATCTTACCAATCATCTGGAAAAAATCCCGCTTTTGGCTAACACTTCCACCCCACATTACTACTTCATTATTTGACTTTTTGAAGTAGTATTTAATGCATTGGAATGCCTAGCTATCGAGAGGTTGGCATAGGTAGGTAGTATGGGGTAAAAACCAGATTAGGATAATGAATTTGTCGGTACAAAAGGTAGTAAATTCAAGTGAGGTATAAGATAGATGATTATCTATTAGAAGAACACAGGGCCTATCCTTTTAGACCCGGTTTTTTATAGCCTTATAAAAAGAACAAAGCCATTCGAATACAGTATCGTTATCAATCCACCCCTTAGGGGTAGGTTTAATACGAAAATCGGGAATTGTGATATTGGTATACCATTCTTCCATCTACCGGCATCCTTTAACTAAGAACCACGGTAGCATCGCCCAACCATCTACGGTAATACATTCAATACCAGTAATTGATTCAGTGAGACCACCGGTAGCAATATAACTAGTCGAACGAGAAGATACGACTTTACGTGGCTTTCCTTAGCCAATTTAGTAGCTGGTCTTATCCTAATTGTAAATCTTATGAGGTAGGAGTTTGTACTCTTCCATAACCTTTGAGAAATAGTAAAACCAGAGAGTAAGACCCTCAATACTCTCACTATCCATACGCGCCTTTTCCTTAGGTTTTTATATGATATATTTGAGGTAGGGGGGTAGTCTGGTAAGGAAGCGATATACCCAGTTGTGACCGACGGAAATGTCAATACCCGCGCGTTGTAAAAGTCGGTTTGCAGTCTCTTCAATCTCTTCGGGTATAGGTTGAATATAATTGGCATCTAGCAAAGTGACCCAGCTAATAAGTGCCTTTTCCTGAATTGGACTAAGTGTTTTAGAAAGGTCGGTACGGTCGGAATGAGTCTTGCCACCATGGACGCGCGCGTAGAGGGTTGTGTATAGAACAGAGAATTCTCGCGCCAATGGGGCGATTTTTGGTTTTTTTCTTTGATAGTAGGCTTTGACAGCCAGTTGCATTTCATCCTCTGAATATTTGGCTTTTTTCGGCATCGTGTTGTGGTAAAAAAATTGGTAGGAAGTTGGTGTAAAAAGAAAAATCTTCTGTTTTGTGGGAATCTTCTGTTATGTGGGACAGACCCATACCTGGAACAGGTATGGGGGCGGTAAGACGGCTATATGGGGTTTAGTTTAGGGTTATGTCTACGAAATTTTCATGCATGAGGATGATTTCGCTCCTCCGGATTAAATGATTCCAATTGGCCATCTGATATTGTTCGAATTGATCTGATGCCTAAGAGAATGGACTCTGAAAACGGCACGAAAAATGCCGATGTAGAATTTTTAAGTGGGTCCTGCCCTAAAAAAAAACTCCGCCGCCCCATATATCACAGCCAGATCAAATAATCATCAAGGCCGGCTGGCCCAATGGCAAGGGGCTTGACTACGAATCAAGAGATTGCAGGTTCGATCCCTGCGTCGGTCAATATTTTTGACGTTCTGACGTTCTGACGTTCTTTTTGCTCCATTGTTGTCCAAGATGTGGCCAAAAATGGCTGTTGTACTACATCGTACGGTGGTGTGTGGCTGTATGGCTGAGTGGCTCTTAGTTTTTAGGGTCCGCGGGTTGATTGCTGAGTTACCAAGGAAGAGTAAGAGTAGAACTTGAATCTTAGAATTTGATATATATTTCAGTATGTTTAGTTCAGATATATGGAAAATACTAAACCAAACGTAAATTTGATATTGCACTACCCGGAGCATGCAGGTTGATAGTATGTTTCGCTATAGTAGAACGTCTAGAAAACAGCAAATCAACCATATAGTTAGAATACCAGACTGAATATATGTCTTGTCGGTATACAAATGTCCCATGTTGGAGCCGAGTGGACATGGCATGCTAATTTTAGCGTTCGTTTTTAGATGTTGGCTAACGCATAAACCTTGATTTCATTGTCCTCCGTTTTAATGTTTGCGATAGGTAAGGCATGAAGCGCCTTTTATATACCAGGTGTTCAGCGGGACCAAACCAGCGGTCTTTATCTAAAGGGCGTATGACTTTTACTGAAAAAGTCGATGATAATGGTCGCCCCTCATTAACATATTTATTAATACTAATAGCAGAGCTGGTAAGATGTGATTTCTCGCTGATCATATTTCACTTGATTGTTTCTCAGTTTGATCTCATTTCCAGGCAAGCGATGTCTCAGTTATTGATAGAGGCAGGCTTGCTCATTTATAAATCTATAGGAGATAATCGTTAGCCAAGGCCATCAGCAGTGAGTGAGTGTTCCGGATATCAACAGCATGACGTATCCCATTAGAGTTCAAAAATTACCTTTGTATATCCTCTCGGAGAGTAATTCTTGATTGAGACATCCCAACTTCAACCATAAGTGATAGCCATTTACTAACAAGCGTAGAGTGGGGATGGACTTCGGGATCGTACTGAAATCCGGTTGCTTTGCGCAGTTGAACCCGGCCACCTCTCTAGCAATAGCGCCCTGATTGATTCGGTAAACCAGCGGCAGGCATTGCATCCCCGAATGAGTAGTAGAGCTGGCAAATAACGCATTCGTGCTGCCCGCTAGGCATGATTCTTAGTAGTATGTTTCGATCGTCGAAAGTAAATCGTACTCCACCAATCCTTTCGCTCAGAAGGTATTTGCGTAGGGAACCGCTCACGTCAGCTACGGCTTCAGCGATAAAAGGTATTGAGTTTGATTCGTTTCTTGCGGTCCCTCTAAGCATTGATTGTTTGAGGCTTCTTTGGTCGAACGTTCAGCATCATCAGGAATATGAAAGTCCGCTTCTGTAGGTTGAAGCTCGATGGGAGAATCATGTTCAATTGTGATATTGGATGAGTTAAGGCAAGGCAAGATATAGATTCGAGGAGAAGAGGTGTTTGCGTTGCTATCTCTGCCTCAAGGGTAATTTTATAGTCATCCATCACATGGCCGCTTAATTCCATGGACGTAGTCTCTTAAAGGTCTAGAGATAGCTCGTATCAAAGGTCCCCTACTAACAGTATCCGGGATAATTAAAAGGCCCAAGAAAAGACCTTAGAAAAGACCGATAGAAAGATGATAATGAAGTGATTTTATAGTAGTGCTAGACTCTCTCTACAGGATGTACGAGCGATCTAGATATTATAGGACAGGACGAATAACCGAGGGAAAAAGTTAAGGCTAGGCCTCCACTAATCCAAGCATATCAGCTTTCAGAACATTTCTCGGCGCAAATATAGTCCAGACATGAGACTTTTGCCTTTTCTCGTTGATTGCTGAAATAATATCCGGACTTTGTCCGAATTCATAGGGCACTCTGACCTGACAACGAAATGGCAGGACTAAATATCCAGCTCTATTCTATATGAACTCAACTTGATCATTATTCACCACCAAGCGAGAATGGACGGGATGAACCCAAATTTATGATCTGGCTATAGATGTAGAGATGATATAGATAAAAGTGGATCTGGACAGAACCCCACCATCTAACTTTGCAAGAAACAAACAGAAGACTGTGTATATAATAACCACGACAAATAAATCCACACGTGTAACAAGAAAATACACAAAGGGAAGGCCTGTACCCACGCCCTTGAATCGACAAGCACCCACCTGCCGGTTTAGGGAAGGATAATCGGTATCTAGAAATCTCGGGAGCGCGTTCCGACCTCGAGGAATTGTTCTATAAAACCACTGCCGGTCCGCATGGACCAGAGAAATAAATTTCCTTCAAACAAACCATCTAAATCTCAAAATCCCTTCCCAGCTCTAACACCCACACCCACAACATGGAAATCCCACAACCCCTCGAGGCCCCAGGCCCCATCAGACCAATAACCTGCGTCGAAATGCACACAGCAGGCGAGCCAACGCGAATCATCTGGGATGGAACCCCACCTTTGACAGGTACCCTGCTGGAACAACGAGCGCAAGCAAAAGCCCAATTCGACGAATTCCGCCGCGTTCTCATGCTCGAGCCGCGCGGCCACTACGACATGTACGGTGCGATCCTACGCCCGGAGACCGAGCTCGTCGCGTCCGGAGAAGCCCATATGGGCGTTCTGTTCATGCACAACGAAGGGTTCTCGACTATGTGCGGACATGCGACGATCGCGCTGGGCCGGTTCCTTGTCGACGTTGACGAGAAGGTATTTCCTCGTCGGAGGGAATTGAAATCTGACTCTGTGTCCCGTACGACGACGCTTAATCTCCATGTGCCCTGTGGCGTGGTCGAGGTTACTGTTCCCACGTTGGAGTCTGGGAAGTCGGATGCGTCGCGGCCTGTTTCGTTCGTGTCTGTGCCGTCGTTTGCTACGGCTATTTCCTTCCAGGTCCCTGTGCGTGAGAAGTATCGCTGGGCTGAGCTTGCTGACAGGACTTCTGTTACGGCGGACTTTGCTTATGGGGGTGCGTACTATTGTATGACTAGTGCCGAAGAATTGGGCTTCCCTGGTGGACTTGGGGAGGTTAAGTTGCAGGATATGGACCGTGCAACAAAGTTGCTCAAGGAGGCCGTGGTTACGAATCCAGACTTGCGATATCTCATTCATGATGCTCGGACTGCCGAGGAGGGTTTCTTGTACGGGATTATGATCACGGATACGCGATTGGGACATGTTAGTGCTTCAGAGGGCACGGCGGCTGCTCGTGCGCAGCTGGATGCTAGCAGTGAGGAGACAGGGCTCTGTTTCTTTGCGAACCAGCAGATTGATCGGTCGCCCACTGGAAGCTGTGTGGCTGCGAGGGTGGCTCTTGCACATGCCAAAGGGACTTTGCCGGCCGGTGAGAAGAGGATCTATAATTCCCTGGTGACTCGTGCATATAGAGGTATTCCTGGATTCGTTGGGTCTGTCTTTGATGATGCTGGCACAAGTGGAGGAGACCAGCAGAGTGTTCGAGTCTGTGTCGAGGGATATGCATATTATACTGGATATCATTCCTTTGTGGTAGAGAAGGAGGATGGCCTCGGGGTGGATGGGTTCTCTGTGAGGGACATTGCACTATAGTGCCTATTTGAAGCAGTGAATTCAATATTTGTCTGTGTTAGTCTTATTTGAACATAAATAATGCTTTATACGGTTCATGCTTTTTGCCGCCTTTGCACACCAAATAGAATACCATATATAAAGTTAGAAATTCAAGTTTAATTTTTGATAGTCGAATACTTCGTGCTTAAACTCTCTATTGATCTATTTCATATAACTAAGGTTCTGGGTTGAAAGACAACCCTAATATTGCGGTCTCGGGATCTCCATGGCTTCCGTGGTTCGACCATACGAGATACCACCTAGACGACTGATAGGCTTAAGAACCTTCAAATCGACAAGATTCCTTTCCTCGTTGATAGCGTCATCCCGAACCCAAAAACGAACGCCCTCAATGATAGCAAGCACACCCGATCTCTTACCGGGGGTGACCCGACTCTCAAACTCCTTCAACTCAACAAGCTTGCCCTCGATCGAAAGAATGGACTCCTTGACACGAGCAGGCTTCACAACAGAGGTAGGCGCCTGGTGCAGCCCGGAAACCTCCCACTCGGAGACACCATAAGGGGCATTGATAGAAGTCGAGTTGGCCGCCTCAAGGAAATGCTCCGAGATGATATTGATAACACACTCCCCGGTCTCGTTCAAGTTCCTCAATGAGTCCTTGGCTTTCTCCATCGACCCAGAAAAGCCAACCGTAAACAGCGGCGGATCGTGGTTGATGACCTGCGCATAGCTGAACGGGGCGAGATTGGTAGTCTTGCCATCTGCAGACTGCGTACTGACGAGTGCGATCGGTCGTGGGACCATTCCTGAAATCAGGAACTTATAGTTGGAGGCCACGGGACGGCCCTCTTCATTGGGGTCGATCTCGATGTGGTCCTTCTTCAGACTCGCGCCGTCGTCATTTGCGCCATCGCCTTGCTTCCATGTGGGATTTGGAGACTTGGTGTATGTGATCTCGGCGTCGCGGCGAAAATCTGGCCGCGAGGCTTGGGTTTTCTCGAAATCGGGACCGACTTTGAGCATTGTGCAGGTGTGGCTGAAGAGTCGAGCGGGGTGATTGGGTTGAAATGGTGCGCGGGGTGTTGCGGGATCAGCACTTGAGATTAGAAATCAGCTATGTGTTTCAGTATGCATGTGGGTTGCCCCGCGAAGTGTTGACGACGAGGGTCACCTCCGTCATGCTCGCTAGAAAGTGAGGGCAGTGAGATACTTACTACGATTGCAAGAATGAGAGCCTCCGAGTATTTCGGGAGGCAGATTTAAGTAGAAACATGGGGAATATGGGGGCAGCTCTTTGATTCCAAGAAATTCTTATCGCATTTACTATCAAGCTTCGGTTGCCGATTAGTGCCACGGATAGGTTTGCCGTGGATTTGTATTGCCACGCACTATATCACTTCCTCTACCGACTATCGGGCCGACTCCGGGGATATCGCCGGGGAACCTTTGCCCCTGGAGAAAAACCGAGTCACGTCATGTGTACAAGGTCTGTTTCAGGATTATGGGTGACCGTAAAGTTGTGTATTATTACATGTATGTAGAATATTCGAAAATTCGAAAGTATTAATAGCATATATCAGCAAATGAATTCATTCTATAGTATGTATTGGTATTACTGATCCAAACCCACGACTGCGGGATTTTGTTTCTTTGATCCTGAACTGTCCACAGGGAGGCCGGCTAAAAGCACCGTTCACCTGACCTTCTAGAAACTGGTGTGGAGCCCGTCAGTAAATACTATATTCCTCGATCTGTTGGGGAGATTTCCCTGTTTGAGATCCAGAATAAGCTTAAATATACTTAAATAACCTTGGAATGAACGATCAACCGTTTTAGATACCGAGTACCTATACGGAGTATATATACACGTAGTGTTGCTAAAAGGGTCTATACTTGAAAACGTGGGGGAGTGAAATACGGGTCCCCAGTCCCCAACCCACTTCTCCCCATAAAAGCTCCATCTGCCCCAAAGCCTGGATCCTCGGAGTTGATGCGATGAATTTCAATGTTTGATCCTATTTTAGTTATTCAAACTCATGAACGTCAGGTATGTTATATTCCGTCTTCGCTTTATTCTTTAAATATGGTATGTTCACCTAGACTGTAAGGTGATTACAGTATATGTTATATAAAACACAAGGATCGCCTCGTCCCATGACCGATTGCTCCCGAACGGGGATGGCGTGGCTATTTCCGGCATAGCGGTCAAAGGGGGGGAAACTGACTCCGATGTTTTCGCATCAGAACATTACCTTACACAAATACATCGTGAGATTTCCAAAAGTTTCGGAAATGTAAACTGTGCTAGAAAGAGTGGCGTAGTACAAGCGAAGGAAATCACGAGGCCTTATCGACTCCCCTCCTCCCCAACTTTTCTCCCTTGAACACTTCACACATACTTTTTGCTCCCCTATTAGCCTGGAACATTGGCCACCGTTGATTTCCCTCCTAATGAAGCTTTCGCCATTTGACACCTTCCCTACTTCATCCGTCCGATCCTCGTCCTCCCTGAACCTTAGGATCCAAGATCCGCGCCGAGAATCCCCCGACGCGCTCAAGCTGAAGCTGGGAGTGTGCAGGTACCCAATGGGTCGAGGCCACGGATAATTATTGGCTCGCCATGAGCCTCCCTTCTCCCAAGAAGAAAAACGGCGGCATTCCTTCTGTTCCCAGACAAATCCGCTTTGTTGCCACAGATGGGCAGCCCCAAACCAAGCGCCGCCGCGTTAATGCCGCGTAAGTGGGCCTCATTGAGTTCACGGACATAATTTCGAGGACCAAGACACTGACGTCACTTTTGTTTTATTCAGTTGTTTAACATGTCGTCGGCGCAAGATTCGATGTTCCGGTGAACAACCAGGTAGGATGGACGGGGCGTCTCGATTGTGGATATCTCGCTGACGGGTATATGGGTTAAGTGTGTAAGACTTGCTCCGACTACAAGCATACCTGCCTCGGATATACCGAGTCGACCGCACACCGGCGAACACAGTCCGACTCCGCATCTCGAGCGCCGCGCCTTTCCGCACCGAATGAATTGACAAGTCAGCGTGCTGCCCGGGCAGTCGAAAGCAGCTCCCCCGAACCAGTGCCAGCAACGATAGCCAAGCCCTCTGCGGATAAGCCGACGAAACCGCCCGGATCAAAGGAAGTTTCCTCCTGGGATACTTCTGCGAACAAGGACCTGGATACACATGCTGTTGGGGACAGTCCGGCGAGTGGTCGTACCTCTGTGAGCTCGGGGGGTCGCACGCACGTCCCGTATTTTCGATACTTCGGCCCTACTGCGATTGTACCGGGGTTTAAACAAATGGTTGTGCAAGTCCGAGGTTCTCGCAAGAGTAACCCGTCCACGTCCTCAGAGTCTCTCTCTCCTCTTAGGAGCCCTAAACTGTCCGACATTCACACAAGACCCCTGGCCATTGCCGCGGATAATCGGGACAGCCGCGATGCGAATATCCCATTTTATGACCGAGATGATGCACTTCCGGTTTCGAATATTGTATCCCATTTGTGCGAGCTCTTCTTTGCCCACCTGGGCTGCAGCTTTCCTTTCCTACAGCGAGAGAGATTTCTCCAGGACCTCAAAGAGAAAAAGGTCGACACCATGTTGGTAGATGCAGTGTGTTCGTTAGCTGCGAGATTCTCAATACACCCATCACTTGATCCTCCACAGGCTCCTCCTATCGATCGTTCGCAGCCGCCACTCGACGATAAAAAGTGGGACCGTGGCCTGCCATTTGGTCATCGCGCGATGAGCGGTCTCGTGGATTCACTGCCATGTCCAACCCTTTCTGCCGTCCAAGCCTGCTTATTACTCGCTTATGAACAATTCGGATCAAATCACGACAGTGGACTGTGGATGTACCTTGGAATATCCATTCGCATGGCACAGGACCTTGGACTGCAGAAGTTACAAGGCCTCAAACATAATTATGGCAAGACCGGCGTCACACCGAGTGAAGTGATGACAGGTCACGCTGGGAAACTAAGAGAGGAACAGTATGATGATCTGGATATGCATCTGACACCCAAGACTACCTCACAGACTTTGGTCGAGGAACGTGCCCGGGAGCGCGAACGGGTAGACTCATTCTGGAGCATCTTTTTCCTAGACAGAGTCATCTCTTCGGGTACCGGGAGGCCAGTGACACTGCGCGATGAGGATATTGAACTCTGCTTCCCTCTTCAATCTGAATCTCAGCTACCAAATGGGTGGCCCGCGCCTTTCCCACCACTTATTCGGATCATTCATCTGTACGGTCGGGTGACCGACCTCATTAATGGCATCCAGGATGTCAACCTCGTCACACCTGACACGTTGAAGATGTTGGCCGGGATGGAAAGCGACCTGACCGGCATCTATCAACACTTGTCCCCCAGACTTCATTTCAACGCAGCCAACTTTCAGGCCTATGTCAAAGCCAAGGAGGGGACTAATTTCATTCTTCTCCATTTTTGGTTCCATACTCTCATTGTTCTCCTTCACCAACCGACGTTGTTGAACTCATTTGGTGGATCAATCCAACATCTCTACCCGAATAGTCGTGAGTTGTCGATGTCATCTGCCAAAACTATTGCCGATATCTTATCCTTCTCGGAACTTGTCGATGGGAAAAGCTTTATTGGGAACCCTTTCACGAGTCAGCCGATGTACATTGCGGCGTGCGCATTCCTCATGGAAAGTGCTTACTATGCGTCTTCATCCTCGGGAGCTGAGTCGCACCAACCTCAGCCACTGTTGGCGAATCAGTCTAGTGGGTTCGTGATGCCTGCTATAGAGTCATCGAACGGGACAGAACGGAAGTCTATGGCGAAGCATATCCTGCTTGCTTCTGCCGCCAAAGAGAATTATCAGCGGTGTTATAAGGCTTTGAAAGCACTCAATACATATTGGGAAGGCACTGGGTATATTTTGACAGTGCTGGATCAGAAGGCTAAGGGGATTGTCGACCCTCTCCTTTACGCCGTGGAGGATATGGAAATTACACAGGGTATCGCCCCTGGGCAAGCGCTTGGGCCAGGAGCTTGGTGTGCGGGCAATGCCCCGACGGATTCTGTCTTTGATCCAGAACGACCAGCCGGGGTCGCGGATATCTCATCTGAGGGAAAATGGTCACCACACATCGATCCAAGTCAAGGTTTGTGAGATTCGTTGATATTCATGATAAACATAGCACTAACAACTTATGTTCTGACAGCTATCGGATGGGCACTCACAGGAGCAACAAATTCTTCACAGCCTAACTTGAGTCTACTCTATCAGATGTCCACGACCGAGGCCGAGACTTCGCCCAATAGACCAACATACTCGTCGCAGTACAGTCACAGCTACCCAGTCCTACCGACGAATGCCAGCGAAGGGCCAAGCTCTTCATATCCGCAATCTACTGCACCCGCCAGGACTCACGAAGAAATGACACCCTCACTCAAGACAAATGCTAAATACCCCAATGTTCATGCCAGAACAACTAGCACCGACCCTTCTTATTACATGGGCATGAATTCAACCTATCCCGAATCAAACATGCGGACAACACGCCCCGTACAGACAACACAATCTACTTTTCCCGGGATGCTACCCCCCGGGCTCCCAACTTCACATATGGATACCCAGCCATCCGCATATAATTACTCGATACCCCAAGCCACATCCGATCTCCAGCCGGGAATGGACGATGCCAACGGGATGATGATCGGGAGTCATGAGGTCGATATGAACTCCATTAACCAGCAAGACTCTTTGCCGTTCGTTAACGGCGAGATCCTTCCGTGGTTGGAATACCTCCCTCAGGATGTCCTAAGTTTCTTCGGCGACCATCAAAATTATCCGCTTATGAGTCCTGATGATGTGTCACGGCCTCCGTAATGTTCTTTTCGTATATATTTATCTGCTTGGGGCGATTTGCATTCGCCTTTGTTCCAGCGATTAGCTTCTGCTTTTGTTTATATATTTCCGACCGAGATGGGGTTTTTTTGGCGTCATGTTGGATGATATCCTTGATCCCTGTTTTGGTTGTGTATGTTCAAACCGGCATGTTTGACTTGGAGGAGTTGGGTTCAAGTCCATTTCCAATAGACTAAAAAAAGGTTTCTTGCAAATTTATTTCTTTGAGATCATAACAGAGGTATAAACCCACGATAACCTTGGAAGTTCCACGTTCAATACAACTTACGATGTACTCGAGTAGTATATTGTGTGGCTTGACGATCGACATGTCAGTGGTTGCCCGGAACAACGGGGCGGTGAGCGGCTGTCAACACACGTTGGAGTGTCTTGAATTTCGCGTTCACACAAAGGGAATATGTGGAATTTGGTTTTACCAAGTCCGTAAGTCCTTTTGTTATTACAGGCAGCACTCGAAAGTCTCAGAACCCAGCCTCCCGCCACCCATATATGAGAATCTCATGGCGCAGTTGAATAACGACAGTAAACAAAACATCGATTGCACAGAGATCCTAAGCCCACAACCATTTACTCCTCCAAGCAAAGGCTTCCTTATATCCTCCCTCGAGTCCACCAACGTGCCGGTGCCCTCCCTTGCCGATAATGCCCAGATGTCCTCCACCCAAGACCATGAATACAACTCCTCTTCTTCATCCCGTCATTCAACAAGCGACGTCTTCGGCCGTGAAATGGACGATGAGCTAGACCAACTGAAATCCAGAGCCTCGAGTCGCTCGTCACTAGCTTCGACCCCAGCCTCCGTCCTCATCCACCCAGTCGACAGAATGAATAAAATGCCAGAGATGGACATCAACGAAAAGATAGCCGGCTACAGAATGGAGGAGTCCGAGTTCGGCGACTTCAATGACAACCCCGCTAACAACCGCACCATCCGGCAGCGCGAAGCCGCCTTCCGAAAACCGAGTTCCGTCCGGGCGATGCAAATGCACACAGAAGACGAAGCCGATGACGACGATTATATAACGCCCCCGCGACGACGACAAGGTCTCCGGTCACGGTCACCCGGCCCCTCCCCACTGAGGCGATCACCGTATTACTCGCCAAATGCACCGAAACAGCCGAAGCCCAAGAGGGAGGCTCCCCTCGTGCTGCTGCACTGCACCTTGCTCCCGCCGTCCATCCCAGTACCTGGAGCATCGGACCCGAGGAACCAGGATATCCTGGAAGAAGAGCTACCGGCGCAATACTGGAGGCGCTGGCGGCGGCTGCAAGACCGGGTGGGATCGAGCGTGCTGCGCGATCGTGGCGTGCTGATCTCGCACCCGGAGGACCTGTACGATATCCTGGAGGAGCGGCTGTTGGAGAGTCTTGAGTTGAAACGACCACGTCTTCAGAACGGGCACTTCGTGGGACAGGACGACAATGACTCTAGCTCTGGCTCCGATGGGGAATTCTCGGATATCGGAGAGAGCGAGACGGACGGCGAGCAGGGGGATGAGTGTCCCGACTGTGGGAAGCATGTGCAGCATGGAGATAGTAATCGTAAATGGGAGATTCAGGTGTTTGCCGCGAATGGATTGATGCGCGCTGGGGCGTGGGCTGCTGCGTGGCGCGATATGGAGAAGGTTGATGTCGAGGTCGGGCTTTGGTTGCCCTCTGATATTCGCGATAATTTGGAGAGGAGGCTTGCAGAGAAGCAGATGGCAGTTGTGGAGCAGGCGAATAGTCAGATACCGCAGATGTCGCCGTCGGTTGATGGTAGGCAGCAGGTCCCACCGGAGTTTTTGCAGTCGCCTAGGCAGGGCCATGCCCGCATGGTCAGTGATACGGGGTCTTTCACGACGTCTGATGATATGACTTTCAGGCAGGCTTTCCCTGAAGCTGGAGCCCGTCTCGACCATACACCTGAGCTTGGACTGGAGAAGAAGGAACATGAACCTGCTCTTTCGACCCTCCTCATCAATTACATCCGTGTTCTGGCGGCCGATAAGCGCAACCTTGCCCTGCTTCTTCTCAGTGTCCTTGTGGTTTTTCTTGCTATCGGTTCCCGTCAGCAGCAAGTCCACGTCTACTCCCATTTCTCACAAGGCTCGGCTCATGAGATCCTGCCCTCCTCGGCTGTGCCGAATCTGAGTGTGGCTCCATCTCTGATTCCTTCTGTCTCTATACCGAATTCCGATTTTTCGACGTCTGATTTAGTGGAGTCTGCTTCTCTGATTGTTGACTCTCTTGATTCTCATGCTCAGGCTCAAGTTGAGGAGGATGAAAATCCTTCTTCTTTGTCTGATGTCCCCGTTGAGTTTTCTGTGCCTTTCGAGCTCATGGAGCCTACCCGGACTACGCAACTTCCCCTTGGGGGCGACCCAGAGACTCCTTTGGATGACACTGTGGACTCTACTGCTATGCCTTTAGAGTCCTCTCCTTCTTCCACTGACCCTATCGAGTCTCCCGTTTTGTTGGATGAGACTGCCCAGTCTGATAATCATGGCGAAGAAGAAGAGCACGAAAAAGACGAAAAAACAGATTGATCCACTTTCTCAACCTTACGACCACGACAGGAACGATATCAGGCGATATATTTGGCATTTTGATGATTTTTACAATGTTCCTCTCCATTTTGATGTCTTTTGCTGATTTAGCCATAGCCATAGCCCCTCGTTAGTTCAGCTTTATGATTCTCCTTATATTAGCGAACCTCATCTGGTTTTTCAGATTTATAAATTGTATGTTCGTTCAAGAATATCGGCCGTAAACGCTTTTTTTAGAACGACATGATCCAGTTGGATCGATAGTAGATGTCTTTCTTTAGATGTCTTTTCCTGGATATCTTTTCCTGGGTGACATAAAATGCCTTAAATCTTTTTATGAAACAATGCCAAGTCTAGACTTTGATATCTCCACTTTGCCCCCAGGTCCTCCCGCTCGCTTAGTGATCGTCCCTCTCCAATAGATTAGCTATTTGACAGACATTGGATATCAGATCTGTGGATTATGCATAGAACGTGTGGATACAATGCACGAAACCTTCAAACTGGTTCTTCCATGTAACCTGTGTCCACATCTTATTCTAAAGGCGACCTGTCCTTACAATGCGGGGCAATCTCTACTTGTTACATCCCACAATGTACACTAGAAAGCAGAAAGCCAGAAAGCAAAACGGAAAACTGATTCAAGGCTCGATATTATTGATTATCGATTAAAGGTAAGGTTAGTTGAACGAGTTCGATTTTGTATTGGGCAGGTTCAAGTGTCACTGGCCCAGCGAATTTATCCGTCAACCCAGCATAAGTCACAACCTTCGTAAAAAAGTGCTAATCACGTCCAGACCTTCGTAAGCTTCGTGACAGGAACATCTAGTAGCCGCCGCCGTAACCACCTTGGCCGCCTTGCTGGCCACCGTAACCGCCCTGACCACCACCGTAACCGCCCTGACCACCGCCGTAGCCACCCTGGCCACCACCGTAGCCTCCGTTGCCGCCACCACGGTAACCGCCGCCGCCGAAGCCGCCGCGACCACCACCGCCACCGGCAGCGCGCTCAGTAGCCTTGTCAACACGGATCTGGCGACCGTCGAACCTGAAAGAAGTGGTTGTTAGTAGATGTTTTGACGGGAGGAAGAGATCGTTCATGTCGCGCTGGAACAGGCGACGCCCATGATGCGCGACTGTTCCAGCAGGACTTGACCAGTCGCTTAAAGTAGAGAGGAGGAGAGTGAGAGATGAGATTAGCTTGCTTACTCCTGGTTGTTCATGGCGTTCATAGCGGCAGTAGCCTCATCGTCGGTAGAGAAACGAACGAAACCGAATCCACGGCTGCGACCAGTATCACGGTCCTTGACGACGGTCTAGAAAGAAAATGGACATTAGAGTTGGGCAATCAGTGATGGAAGTCAGAGCGACTCACAGCATCCTCAACAACGCCGAATTCCTCGAAGCGCTGGCGCAGACTGTTGTCGTCTGTGTTCCAGGAAAGACCGCTAGAAAATGATGGTCAGCAGGCGCATGATATATCTTCACTAGGGTCAGTCTTACCCAATGAAAAGCTTCGACATTTTGATGGAAATGGGGTGGAGAGAGATCGAGAGAGAGGGGGGAAGGGTGTTAGTGTGAAGAGGGGCACAGCCGAGCCTGATCTTAAATACAACCCGGGACGGAACAACATCACCCCACAGATTCCTGATTCCTCGTTTTTCAGGCGCGTTTTTTGTTTTGTTTTGTTTTGTTTTGATTTTGCGATTTGGCTGTTTGACGTGCATTTGGCTTGGATTATTGCGTCTGTGAGACCTGACTTATGTATACTTGTTTGGGTAATTTGTTTACCTGTATTGTCGCTTTGTCATACATAGTGGACCCGTCTCCCCACGCTGTCAGGAGTCTAGATTCCTACTTGCACCTCATACAACAGACGTATGCAACAATGGCACCATTTGAAATAATATCCAGTGTGGATGTTGTAGAACAAGTAACCAAGAGCAAAAGTACCATATTGAAAACTATATTTAGAATCCTCCTTCCTATGTGTTCTCGTTATGAGGTCATATCATCCCATTTAGATCACCCCACCCCCGGACCTTCTATATAAAATCTTCTTTCTCCTCCACCCAACCTTGATTCTACAACCAACTTACAACTCATACTCTCAACTCCTCATCTCAACTCCTCATCTCAACTCCTCATCTCAACTCCTCATCTCAACTCCTCATCTCAACTCAATCATCAACATGCCTGTCATTGAAATCACCAGGTAAGTCTCTCCCTTACACAAACAAACACAAACACAAACTAATACCCCACAGCAAAGCCGAGTTCCTACAAAAGATCCTCGGCTCACCAGACCCCGTCGTCCTCGACTGCTACGCCGAATGGTGCTCACACTGCAAAGCCATCGAACCGAAAATTGAAGAATTGAGCAACCTCTACACCCAAGTGAAATTCTACCAGGTGGATGTCGACAAAATCGAGGACGTTGGCCAGGAGCTAGGTGTGCGGGCTAAGCCGACATTCATGCTATTTAAGGACGGAGAGAAGATCACAGAGATTGTCGGGGCTCACTTGCCTGCTGTTGAGCAGGGGATCAAAACTCATCTTCTTTGAGGTGGTTCTTTTTTTATCCACCGAGGTACTTGTGCTTGTGGGATACATGCCTCCAGTCATCTGCTAAGCTGGTCTTGTTATAATGTTGGCATGTCATCGATCAGACAGCTGCTTATCTGATCCTGTTTTAATGGATACGGCTCTTTTATCAAAGAGGGATTCTCAACTATGGTTTCATTCTAGAGTGCATTCATACAGATATTGCTCGAACATTCGGCGTCTCATTATCCCGTGTACAACCACTCAATACACTGTGCAACCTACATCAAATACCTCAGTAAACATCACACCAATGGCGTCAGAAAGCCCACCTATATACTTCCCTCAAATCTATCCCATATACCTCATCTAAACACTAGAACCCAGCAGCAATAGAATAATTCGCCGGGATAACAGGCCAAGCATCAACCCCATCCAACATCGCCAAGACCATGCCCCCACTCTGATGAACCTGAATATGACAATGCAACAAGAACGCCCCAGGATTAACAACATGATACCGGATAGCCGTCCAACTCAAGCCCGTGACAGCCGGAAGCGTATGGAAAGTATCCCGATACTGGGGCGTCTGCAGATTAAAGCTACCAGGAACAGCCTGTACCGCTTCCGCGACCGAGCCCCAACCAAAAGTACCATTCCCCTGACCGATAATGAAATGCTTATTCGAATGCTTGTGGATCGGATGCGGGGGCTGTAGGATGGTATCCGTCTGAAGAATCAAGTCGATCCAGGTATTATTCTTCGTTCGGATGATCAAGTCGCTGGGAATAGAGTTCTGGTTGAAGAGCAACGGCTGTGCTTCCTCGAGCTCGAGGCCATAGCTGGAATTACCGAGTCTCCAGCGGTAGGCGACGCCGACTTGGTTGATGTGCAAGAAGAAGGTTTGCGCGATATTGTTTGACGGGACGAGCGCTGGGAACGGGACGACGATGGACTCGTTCAGGAAGACGGTGTCTGTCCTGGCGGCTGCGTTGTTGATTTGGATCCACGGGTTGGATGGCCGGGTTAGCTGCGACACGCCTTGGTAGCGCATTATTGCTGTCGTGTTGAGGAACTGGTTTATACTGGCGCTGACCATGCGCACGGTGTAGTCTCCGGCTGGCTGGGTGAGGGGGACCAGAACCGAGTATCGGTTTGAGTTCGGGACGGTGACTGCGTTGACTTTGAGGGGCTCGATGTATCGTCCGTCTATGGCGTATACCCACATGTCGTGTTCGTCGACTGAGAAGGTAAGCTCTAGTAGGCCGGCTGTGCTAATGAGATCCCAGCTGACGTATTGATTGGCTGCATTGACAGTAAATAATTCTTGGGGACCTTGTGATGGTACGCAGCCTTCGAACATAGTTGGGGGGATGGCGGCGTAGTTGTGTGGGAAGTTGAACACCGTTTCAGTGATATTGGGAGGGAAGCATCTAGTGATAAAGTTAGTCTTTGCCGGGATCATTGAAGAACTCATTAGACAACCACTCACGCCATATCTGTTAGTCTCAGATCACCACCCAAGCTCGTTTTCTGAACGAGTGTCGTCAAGGCATCAATCTCAGCGCGTGGCAGACAAGTGATGGACCCTTTGCCATTGATGAGTAAAGCATTGGCACAGAATGCGTCTGTGCCAGAGGCAATCTCGGCAGCCCAGATCTCCTCGGACGTGAGGACACGCCATTCCGAAAGCAAGATGGGGGAGGTCACGCTCTCCGCGCGACTCATAGCCCTCAACTGAGCGGGATCAGTTGTGATAAGACTGAATGGCTTTTGCACCGAGGCGGCAGGGGTGATATAGATCGGTCCGTAAAGCCCGTCTTCGAGAGAGCCACGGTGATGGGCATGATACCAGTAGGCCCCGTACTCGGTTGCGGTCCATTTATACAGGAACGAAGTGTCCGGTGTGATGGATCTCTGAGAGACACCTGGGACTCCATCAGACCAAGGAGTGCCCAGCTGTTCAATTCCTATAGAATCAGTTAGTATGGATATGCAAATCAGCTCAAGCTATTGGAAGAGCTTACCATGGAAGTGTATAGTTGTATTGAACGGGCAGCGGTTATCAACGAGAAACTCAACATTGTCCCCCTGGTTGATCCGCAGAGGGGGACCAGGAAACTGCCCGTTTGTCGAAATCACTTGCCTAGACACTCCTGCGACAGTTCTGTTCGACCATGTCAAGGTAACCGGAAAGAACACTGTAGCCGCATGTGTCCATTGGACGAGGCATAGAGCCCAAAGGCACAGGCTGAACTTCATATCTAAAGATGAAACTAGACTGGGAATTTGTATCAATCGAACGGCCTGTTCTTGATGTTCCATGCTTTTTATGGGATTCCCGCCCTTTTATGCCGGCCCAGGGAGAGTCATAGAGCATTGAGTGAGCATATGCATCTCGCAGCTCTCATGTGGGTCTATCACATCAGATGCAGGATTCTCATGGGCGAGTCTTCCTTGCGAGCTCGTATAGGCGCAAAGAAATGGAATAAGCCATCCACTTCTGTCGGGAACTAATCTAACCTCTCGGGGAATAGGCGGAGGCGAAGTTCATCCGAGAATTAGTAGATTGATCTTGGGTCTTGAAGCCTGTTTCGCAGCTAAGCCAATGATTAAAGGCTAAGTTAGGTTGCAATCTTCGATCTGAAGCAAGGCACGCGATTGGGAACAGCTGGCTGACTCGTGGCGAATGAAGAACTCAAAGTTCAAGATACCCCGGTAGTCCCAAACAGTAGCTTGGCGGTGCTGCAGGGATGAATCTGTGATGAAGGTGTTGGCACCTGCTTATGTGTAAGCATAGCCCTAAGCGGGCAGATTCAAGACAGGGATCCTTTGGGATTTGGCACGTTGCTGGTGTGGTGTATCCGGGACGAATGGCGCATGCTGGGCGCAAAGTTTCCACAGCCGTGGGAGAGTCTGACTTGGGGTCAGAGTTTCGGTAATCTACATGTTACACGGATGGGAATGGATATCACTGGACTCATCAAAGAACTGCCGGTCTCGGTCGTCATCGCACTATGAGTCAACCAGTCATAAATCAGATTTCATCGAAAAAGAGTCGGTGTAATCCTCATCCCGACTTACCATGGAGCCACGTGCTGAAACTGAATCAAGGTACGCAATTTTCAGGATGAAACGAAAGCCTTAGGTGAGGGAGGTTATACAAGGGAGATGGGGGCAGTTGGATTCCAAATTGAACCACCCGCCACAAGGGTGACGTGTGGAAGCTGCCTGGATGCAGCTGATATCTAAAACAGGAGAAGAAATTGGAAAACGCCAATTGATTTGTGATATCTCGAAAACATGATTAATATCCAAGTCATATGTTATCAACAAGGAAGATTGCAACAGTTTTGTGAAGTTAACTTTTCTTGCCATGCATGATACGGCATGGGGGAAGTAATAGCCGCCAAAGACATCAATAGTTGCCATCGACAAAGTAGCCTGGCATGTCATCATGGGTGTCATTCGATGCAGGAGGGTGGCCCGCTTTGGAATTGAAAATAGCAACCGGGTTTGAGGCAGACAACTCACCCCCACGAGACGGGGGGATGGGCTGACTAAGTGAGCCTTTCGTTGACCATCCTTGTTCTTCGGAAATTTTTTGACCATCGGCGCCATCTAGATGCAAGCCTTCCAAACCATCAGGATTGATTTCACTGTAGCTGTCGTTCAGTCGTTGTAGGAATTCTGGGTCAAATCCCATTTGTACCAAAGGGTCAGCTGTGCTTTCTCCCAGCACAGACGCAGTGGTTGGAAGACTACTAGCCCAATCCGTGGAGAATGACGGATCAGGACCAGCTGACATCATCCCTGCACTACCAGCGTAACTGCCTGATATACTCCCCGGTCGGCTGGGCCCAGCAGAAGAGAAGCCGGTGCCAGGAAAGCCGTGACTGCGAAGACTAGGGCTAGAGACTGCCGGGCTGTGGATGGCGGCCCCTTGGCATACTGTTCGCGCTAGCACATTGATCTCCCGGGGTGGAGCTCGGAGGCCGCCATTGATAGCGAATGGGGGCTGCATGCCCAGATCGGCAAACTGGATGCTGTCGTTGTTCACGGGAGTCTCCAATCCACAGTCACGCTTGAGGACACCCAGCCAAACAATATTATCCGCGCAGGTCTGGTTCCAGGGATCGTCACATCCATAGATGACGCGACGAGCTTCCGCTTGTATCATCTGATCTGACGGAACATGACCTTGTGCCTTTTGGTCATTTATGTATGCAGTGAGTGCGCGAGAAAGCCGATGGTAACAATTGATATCCGTAGGGACGGGAAGCATAAGCGTGCTACCATCTCCTTTAGCATGCTCAGTGCCCCAGGGATCAGGAGACCGCCATTCATAGTCAATCATGTACGGCGGAATGGCGTTTTCGACGCGAGCTTGGATCTGTGGGTCAAAGCCCCAGTCCCCTTGCCATTGAGCCATGCTAGCCCCATGTTTGAAATGACCGGCCAAATGGTCCACTCGGTCTTTCCATGTGTGGAAGAGGGAACCACAGAACCCACAGCGGGAGTTGATATCTGTAATGCTGCTTTGCCATTTCTCCATGCAGGGTTGGAACTTGGCATTGTGCATCAAGCGGAGGTGTTGGTTGAGATGATCCTTGCGGTAAAATGTCCTCTCTTGCACTGTCTTCTCTTGGCAGGTGACGAAATTGTGAGTTTCAAGGTGTTCATCGTCTGGATTAGCTGCCAAGCAGAAGACACAAACAGGTATACCGTCCTGTTCAATTGCACCGCCGTGGGGGGAGCATGTCCATTTGTCTAAGATTAGATGTATGGACTTCTCGTGCCGCTGCCAGTCATACTTAGCAGGGAAGGAGTCGGTACAGAAGGTACACTGGAAAGGACGAGCAGCTTTGGCCTTTGAATGGGCCAGAGTATTGACAGGCACCGAGGCCTTGCGGCGGCGGCGACGGTCTTTCCGGTCCATTGAGCCAAAGGAAAGAGAGGATCGATGGGAGAATGCAGAAGCAAAAGAGAGATCAGAAATGGATGAATCAAAACTACTGGCGGAGGCAGCGCACAGTTTATGTTCAGAGCTAGCATGGCTTGACTCATTGTTACTAGAACGGGCCCTCACGTGACTCGATGGAGCCTGGCGTGGACGGGAGGGATCGAATGGGGGATTGGCCAGGGCACGGGTAATATCGCTGATCGTAGCCGGTTCGTTTTCGGGGGGAGAGTACTTCCAACGTTCAAGGGGAGTCATGAGGGATACGTTGACGGATTGCTTCATGGGGATGTCCACAGCTCCTGGAACAGGAGAACTGCTCCCAGGCGACGCACGAACTTTGCCGCGTCGCCTGGCATTGGCGAGCCAATTGGCGATTTGCGTCCGAGTCAGACCAGTGTGTTGTTTCAGGTCATCCCTCTCTTGCTCGGTAGGATACGGGTTCTCGTCGTGATCTCTCAGCCAGCCCTTCAGGATGCTGATTGCCTTGCGCGAGAAGCGAGCACCAGTCTTTTGAGAGCGTGCATCTGGGTCATTGGGATATGTGTTGTATGAGACTGATTTGAGGGCTTTCTTTCCGGTCAGGCTGCCTGTAGGAACATAGGCATTCTCTGACACGCTATGTAATGTCTGGAGGAACTTGCCCGGCGTTTTGGCGTGAGTGAAACTGCATTCACGATAAAGAGAGATACAGCATGTACAACCATAGTTCATTATACCGCGCTTTGCAACAAAACAGTCCAGTCCCATTCGTCGGCAAAAGTCGCACGGCTCCTGAGCCCGGTCGACGGGGTCAATGGCTTGTCCGACATTCACTTCGGACTGCTCCGGTACCGGGTCATTGGAGAACTCCAATGGCTGATCATGAACCATCGAGTTGAAGTTTGCTGCCTGTTCTTCGGGTTCGTCGAGTTCAATATCAATCGAAGCAACATCGTCGTCTAGTTGATTAGAGCCATGGGCAGACGAGGCGCCTTCGAAATCGAAATACTCCATGTTGTAAACGATTCTAATGGGAAATGCTGCACAGAGGACAGCCTTTGAGGTCCAGCAGAGTAAGGGAACAATAAAGAACACGATTCAAAGCGGAAGAGGAGTCGACCAGAAGAGAAAATAGTACCCTTCCAAGGTTGGTCCGGGGTAGAGAGATGAGTGAGTAATCAATTCTGGTGGAGCTCCGTGACCTTGGAACCAGAGGTGGGCACCATTCACTTGGACCGCTCAAAGGCAAATCCCGTGTGGCTTTTTTTTTCACGATAAGCATGATGGTCATGAGGAATAAGGCCGAAACACATGCTTGGGTATCCACCTCATAGCGCAGGCTCCGATGACAGTACGGAGTGGAAGAAATTAATTCGAGAGGAAGGAAGTCCACACTGAGTGGGCGGAGAAAGGCTTCGGGTGGAGAATCCAAGTGAAAAAGGACGAAAATGGATGCATCGGCGCGCCCTTTGGATGACAACGCTAAGCCTATTTAGGTTAAGCTCCGTCAAGTTGGGGTCGTTGCCCAGCCCCGGTGATTCATCTCTTCGCGATATCGGACGTCGGCTTTCTTTTTTATATCTGTGTTGTGTAAGAAGTATACTGTTTCTACAGCAGAAAATTGGTTTTTGATTGATCTAAACTAAACTAACTAAAGCTAACCTAAATCTGGGGGAGTGGTTTGTCATCGGATGCTGTCCAGGGAGTTGAACCCATGCTCGCCGCTCCTTCCACTATATAATTGTCGGTCGTCTAGCCCCGTCTGCTCAGCCGGGTAGCCGTCATCTTAATGAACGCGGGTTCCTGGCCCCAGATTTGGCGGAAATTTTTCTCGCTATATCCTCTCCCCTTTCGGTGAGAAAGACATATCACCCTCTCGGTCATAATACGTCGGTGTATAGTGGCCACGAAGAAATCCCCAGCGGAAGTATACTGTTTCTAGTTATAGTAGCAGCGATAATAAAATCGTCCACGTGGATTATTATAATCGTTAGGTCCATGCAGCTTTCACCCATCTCACAAACACACGAAGGTCTGAAGCCTATCTATCTTAGCTTACAATTCATGCAAACCCATTGGCTTGAATTTTCTTCGGCATTGGAAAATTAGCAGCCTGTTGGTTGTCTCATGTAGACGGTTTCTGCATCTTCTCTCGGTGCATTTAGATATGCCCCCGTAAATCAACTTGTCTCCATTCAAGACCATAAATAGTAAGGAAGATACAATGTGTGGTACACGATGATTGGGTCAAGACAAGATGGTTGCACCAAAGAGAGAAAAAAGACGGAGAATGTTTTTTTATATGGGGAAAACAATGGTTGATGACTCTAGGCAGTGAACTTGGAAGAAGCTGAGAAGTGAAATTATCGGTTTTCTATTGCGCTCGTATTCTAGTATAGTGACACATCGAGCTCTCCATTTCAAGCTTCCCATGAAAAGCCTTGCTCGCGTTGTATGTACTCTTCATCAATCTCCCAAGGTTGGTATGTCAAAAGGGATGGTGCCACTCTATGGAAGCCAAGGTTCTAGTGATTTAACTGAACCAGCGAGAGATGCCTATGTAGCTCATTTAGGCAAACTTACCTCAACCGTGATATGGTCGTGGCCATGGCTTTTGGCAACCATATTCCAGACCTCATGAACTTCCCTTGTCACGTGGAATTCCCCCGAGCTAACCCACGTTGCTTTGCCTTTGGAGCGGTCATAATAAAACCAATGTTGGGCACTGTGTTCCAAGACATGCTGAAGTCCATCGAAGTTTTCACATTCAACGATAGAACGCAGAGTCATGCCCCTAAGTTTGGGCATATATTGAGCGGCTTTCCCAGCTGCTAGATATAGTGCATTCACGGCTTTGGTGGGCTTTGTGCGGAAATTCTCAAGGCGACGATCCTGGGGAGGAGCAAGCTCCCAGGGCTCCTCCATTTCATAAAAATAGGAATCTAAGCTTGTGTCAGAATCCGAATTTCTCCTTGGCCTTTCTCTCCATCTTGGATCTCTTTCAAAGAGCCAATCTCCCGAGGGAGTGGCACTCCCGTAGCTCAAGTTGAAAGTGCTGAGCTTCGGCCAACATAGCTGACCCTTATTACTTGGTGGCCAGAAGAGTTCCGGTCCAACCATAATAGTATCCAGTTCGATGAATTTAAGTTGTTTTCTCACTTCAGATACCGCGAGACTCAGCGCATCTTTCCCGGGACTAGATATCACAGGAAGATTCTCATTCCGATGGGGACTTCTATGGTAGGTCAAAATGAGAGATTCGATAGATTTAGGTGTTTTTTTCAATGGTGAGAGCAAATTCTAATATTTTTTAGATGATTGTTTGCACATAAATGATGTAGGAAGCGGCATACCTTGACGTAAACGATTTCGCAATATATGGTCTGTTTCATCATCCTCGAACTCAGCCTGAAGCGATCTCAATCTTGGTAAATGGGAAATGATTCTGAACGCGGTTCCTGATGCAATCTTCCGATATATAACAGAAAGACCGAGTATGCGACGGAATTCTGGGAGTCGAGAAGGGGTGAGACGTAGAGTAGAGAATGTTTTCCGCTCGATGACTGCCTGCCATATCTTGCAGACGGTCGCGTACAAAGCCAAACTATCTTCTTTTGGGAGGAAAGAAAAGATCTGGGTAAGATTTTCCGGGGGAAGATAAGAGGTCATGTTGAAACAGTATCGATCTCTAGAGGGAATTACGCGTGAAGGGTGCACTTCTGAAGGGTTTGTCACGCCTCTCTTCAAAAAATTTATTCAAAGAATGGACTCCTGTTTGTCTGTTATTTCATCAGATGTAGATCATATGAGAAATGATGAATAGAATGGGGTAGGTAACCAGAAGCCATAAAGTGCGAGAACTTTGATACTAGAACTGAGGAATCAAAGGCAATATTAGATGATCAAATATGACTTATATATACAGGCTATCTAGCTAGGCAGCCTGTTTGTCAGTCTAATGAAGGACACGGCTGTCTGCTTCTCTTCCTGCCTGAAAATACCTAGTTTTTGCCACATTCCTTAGGCATAATATAATTCTACCAGACATACTTCTGCACTTTTGAATTCTGCGGCCATATCATGTCATTTTGGTAGTCTTTTTCAATGATTATATCCTACTGATTCTTCATGTATGCGTTGAGCCAAGGTTAGCGTGTCAAAAGAAATGGTACAGGCTCTGAGGATTTGACTGAACTAGCGAGAGATGCCCATATAAAATAGATCAGACTATACTTGTATATAACATCTACGGAAGACGTATAGAGATCTACAACTTCCCTTTTGGGTTAAAGCATTTGGTGGGGCCTTTTCTCCAAAGATAACAGTTTTGAGGGGAAATTGAACCTCATCAGAACCTGGCAATGTTCTAAATTTCGATGATCGGTAATTCAACAGGTGTTTCAATGTCTGAATCTCATTCGAATCAGAGAATTTATACCTGAACGGCTCCCAAATATATTGAGAAACCTCCTTCTCGTTATCTTAAAAATGAAGCAGGAAATCGACTTCCAAAGGCGCGATTTGCCTCAAATCGCACCATCTGAGTCAGACCATGACAAATACCCCGAAGGCGGGTTGAAGGCATGGTCTGTGGTTCTTGGAGCTTGGTGTGCCATGATTCCGTCCATGGGGCTCTTAAACAGCCTGGGAGCCCTACAACCTTGGACAAGTACCCACCAACTCCGGGATTATTCGGAGTCGAGTATTGGCTGGATCTATGGAACGTACACATTTTTCCTTTTCTTAGGGGGTGCACAATTTGGTAATCATCTTCCCACCATATCGAATGCAATCTGAACTAACGAGCACTTCAGGCGCAATTCTTGATTCCCACGGAGCTCTATATGTGGTGCTCCCGGGCTCTATTGGGATAGTACTTTCATTGATTTTCTTGAGCTTCAGTCATGGTGTGTTCCCAATATCTATGTGTCTTTCCCCTATCATATTACCTTCACTGCGAATTCACACATCCCTGCGGAAGAAACAAAGTCTGACTCTGAACAAGAGTATTATCAAATATTTCTATCATTCAGTGTTCTCGGCGGAATATCAGCTGGCACACTTTTCACACCTCCGTTGGCGGCTGTTGGCCATTGGTTCAATGTTCGACGTGGCTGGGCAACCGGAGTAGCCTGCACAGCGGGAGGCATTGGGGGTTGCATATTTCCCTTGATAATTCTTTTTGCAGCTCCTCGCATCGGTTTTGCGTGGGCAATTCGCATAATCGCGCTGGTATGTGTAGTGACATGCTCAATTGCATGCCTCACGGTCCGAACCAGACTCCCTTCCAAGAAAGCAGTCACATCCATCGACTTTAAGGCCCTCAAAGATATCAAATACGCATCCGTGACGCTGAGTGTCTTTCTTGCGGAATTTGCGGCTTTTATTCCAATCACATACATCACGTCCTACACACTTCATGCCGGCTTCGATGAACAGATGTCATATGCGGTTCTTGTCTTTCTGAATCTTGGTGCTGTGTTCGGAAGATTCCTCCCGGGGCTGGTTGCTGATCGGTTGGGTCGATTTAACGTCATGATTGTGAGTTGCTTAATGTGTTCTCTATTCACTCTCATCCTTTGGCTTTCCGAGGATCTGGTCGATCCCGACAGCTTGGGAATTGTCATTGGCTACGCTGTGCTTTTCGGCTTCTGGAGTGGATCAGCTATCAGTATTGCACCAGTTTGCGTTTCTCAGGTCTGTGAAATTCAAGATTATGGGAAGAGAGTTGGAACTACATGGACGATAGTCAGCTTTGGCACCCTCGTCGCTATCCCTATTGCAGGCGCTATTCAGCAGCACAACAATGGGGAGTTCTATGGGCTGATTATTTTTGGGGGTGTTCTCTATATTTCCTGCACAATTGCATTCATCGTGTCTCGTGGCATTTGCGAGGGATGGGGTTGGGGGATAAGATTTTAGAATGTTCGTACTGAAAAATCCGGGGAAATTATATATTGGCCAACAACGTACCAGGCCTACATTCATGTCTTGTACATAGAGAAGTCATTTTGAATTAGACACTCTTCATTGGAGCGGATAATAGATTATATTCAGATTGATTGAAGTCCTTAGGCCCTGAAATCGACAAGAGGAAAGCCAATTTGTAATCGTCAGCTCTCGGCCTTGTGTAGTATCATTCAGAGACACATGGCAACGAGCCTACAGTATGATCACAGCCACATTTATCGACAGCCACAATAAACTCATCCTTCGTCATCTGGCCACGATCGAGAGAGGCCTTGAGTTCCTCGACCTTTTCGACCTTTTTGTCATACTCATCCAGGTCTCGAAGCTTGTCACACACAAAGTCTTTCACCTCTGGTCTAATTTCCAGCTCATTAACACGTTCCATCCACCGGTCGAGACCGATAAATTGCCGCCACTTCATGTAAGGAAAACCGAGTGGGTTGAAGAACCCACTAGAAAGGAGCATATGAACCCACATAGCTCCTGAAGTCTCGGACCATTTAACATGCTCGGAGAGTTCCTTGTATTGACTTTTTGGCCTTTTCTCTTCTTCCTTTACCAAGCTTCCTTAAATATGCGAAGACAATCGAAATAGCGTTCTGTAGCCACCGGGGGGTGGTAACTGTTTTCGAAATCCCACTCATCATTGACCGGTCGATCATGAAGAAGCCACCAAGGAGCTGATCCGAAGAGCTGCGCCGGTCCTGCATAAACCCACTCAAGGTCCACGACCCCGACAATTGTGAGATCACTATCACTTTTCACGATCATGTTCGCTGGGGTAAAATCGTCGCAGATGAGTTTGAATGGGCCATTTTCATCCGCCGTGTTGACAAATTGGGGTATTAACGATTCCAAAATACTCAATGAAGTATACTTGGAGTAAACATCCAGTTCGGCAATAGCTGAATTTGGTTGATGTCGAAGTTGCTGCCAGTCTTGGCCAATGATGTACTGGAAGTACTCTGTGGTTGTAGAGAAACCTTGGGTTCGGTCACCTAAAAAATGATTAGCAAATCTAGAACACCGAAGAGACCTTGACGCACCAAAGGTATCAACGCCCCCTGTCCGTGCGATCTCATTTATTTTCCATGTGAGAGGGCGTATAGGCGCAGAATAGCCCGTCTTTGGCGTGGGTAAACTTCCAATTCGGTCAAAATTGATCTCAAAAATTTGTAACATGAAGTTTGCTATCTGCCTGTACACAATCTCCAGGTCGCTATCTGGAATATCCTTTCGAATAATTCTAGAATCGCCTCCGGCGAATAAGTCTTTTAGACACACCCCGTCGATAAAGTTCATCAAGATGAAAGGGCCAAGACCTAAAGGATTGGCATCGGCGAGACCCCAGGCTTTGACATCTGGAACAGGAACACTTGTTCTTTCGCGAATAAGAGAAAGAGCCTCCACTTCCATGACTACCTTTTCGTCGGCGTATTCAGGGGAAATGCTCCTCACGCGAGGGAAACGGAGTATCCACGAAGTACCATCCTCAAATAGAAACTTTTGACAGACGTTATACGAGCCGTTCAAGAAGCCACCATTCAGCTGACAGGGAAATTGCTCTGGATGGAAGCTAGCGACCCATTCGCAAAGATGCCCGTTTACTCGAAATTTGTTGATCTCATCGACCCAAAGGCCTTCTTGCGCCTCGTGTGAGGAATCGATGAGTTTGTTGTAGTCCATTGTTGACGTTTTAACTCTGAAAAGTAGGTGAGATAGTTGGCGGCTTAAGTGAAAGATATGCTAGTCCAGACTAAAATGCCAGACCGCCTATTTGAGCAGTACTCTTCTCAGCTACCCTTAGACAATGAACACGACGTGACCCCACACAAACAGCATATCCCGCCCACAAACCCTCACAATACGACTCAATAGCCGGCTTCCACTATCTCGCCCCACAAATTTCGACGCCAAAGGAGAGAGCGTGGAACAATTTACACAAAATAACATTAAGGGAAAGAGAAGGGGGTTAAGTTCACGCTAGGGAACCTTGGAAGGAGGGGTTACTCGGCTCAACGCACGGCCCTACTTTTATCGGGTATGACAGATCAGGTGATCTCGATAGACCTTTTCTAGACATGCCTAACTCCATGTACTTGGCCTCTTCATTCGCTGATCCCGAAGGTCATTTTCGTGAAGGTATTGGGATCACGTCACCTGATCTTATCTACTCCATATATCTTCCTTTATTCCTCTCTCTCTTTCTTTTCCCTTAGACACACACACCACTACGAAAGGAACCAGATTACAGTATGGTCTCGTGTCCGCATCCTCTCTCCACAATTGCCAGAAATTAGTCATACATTGTTGTTGAAGTTGGGATGTCTCAATCGCACCGTACTCTTCGAAGTCCGAATGGTGGTTCCTAAACTCTAACCACGACATTCGATTGGTTTTGCTGTTCAAGGTCCACAGGCAACCTTTCTCGGTGGATGTTGAACTGTGGGCAGACCAAAGTGCCTAGGCAGTCACTACAAGTCACAAGGGGTGCAGACACTGCTAAAGGTCTCGAGTCGGGATATTCATCTAGACTACAAGATGCTTATGAGGGAGGCCCGGTCGAGTGGACAAGGGGACATTATCATTACACAACGGATGTTGCGTCTGTGTTGTGAAGAAGTCGGGGAAAACCACGGCTGGGACTTTACCTTGCTTTCGCCTAGCGGACAGTGCCTGGCACCTGCATACTGATACGAGATATTGACTTACGCACTTGCTGATGGGTTTTCACGTCGGACCAAACCAAAGAATGGCTGCCACTGGTCGATTAGCTTTCCTTTGTAATATTAGCGAATTTCATCTCGATATTGCTCCATTACAGTGGTGACAAGTCATTTCTTTCCAAAGACGTATTCAATCGGTGTAAGTCTAGCGACGCTGTTGAATGCCCTCACTTTACATTTACCATAGGCTTACCTTTAATTGTAAGATGTACAATGCCAAGAATGTGGTCAGTTAAAGTAGCGGCTTTAAATTCAGCCCCAAAACTCCTATTTGGGTAAATTATCACATGTCTGCCACGTCATCAGTGCTTGATTGATAATACAATATTGTACAAAGTACTTCTAACGCTACGATCATCTCTATCTGTAATTATTCAATATACAACTTAGCCTCACCAATTCTGGATAGCTCCAAACAAGATTATGCCGATCGACAAATCCAAACCCTACATACCCCTAGCCGGCGGCGCAGATGACGGTTGGTCTCACGAGCACCAAGCGACAGCTACATGCTACTGTGGTGCCATACAACTTGCCTTTGTATGTATAGCACATACTAAATACCAAGGATCGCACATCTAACATTAACGGGGAACAATAGCCAACCGACGGTCCCGGCCTAGTTGACACATTCCTCTGCCATTGTACAGACTGCCGCAAAATCACCGCGTCGATGTTCGCCTCCAACTTCATAGTTACAGACTCCCATCTGATACACCTGCGCGGCCGGGAAAATCTTAAATCCTACAGCCAGTCTCGAACAATCGCTTCCGGCAAAACAATGACCAACTTCTTTTGTTCAACATGTGGTTCGCTTATGTATCGCGTCGGCGAGGCATACCCGGGGCACAGCATTCTTCGTATTGGAACGGTGGATGACTTTAACTTACATGAGACTAAGTTGAGGCCGAGGATTGAGCAGTATACAAAGGATCGGGTTGGGTGGTTACATGGCGTGGAGGGTTTTGAGCAGGTTAGAGGGACGGCTTATGGTTCGGACGTAAAAGTTAGCTTGGATTTGGGGTGTACAGATAAGACAGACGTGGCGTAACACCGTAAGAATGAAATCCAAACTCCATCAAAGAAGAGTCATCCGATACGGTGTAAGTCGAGGAGGTCCAATCGAATCGCGGTGAGTTCCCGTCTGCGCGCGATTATTAGTAAGATCGATGCCTGAAGGTGCCTGAATGTATACCGCCTTTTCACACCGTATTGTAAATGGAGCTCCCGCATTGAAGCTATTCCCACCATACAAATCTCTAAAATATCCCGTTTCTAGGCGTTGAGGCCTCCCAGACCATATTCTCAACAATATCACCATATATATATCCTCATCTTTGATCCCCCATTTTCTCACTACATATGACTTGGAAACATTGGTCTCTTGACATCTGCACATAGCTCAAGGCCATTTTGCATTGTTTTTGTACCATGCAAAGCATCAATCAAACTTCTTGACTGAAAAGGCCAAACATGAAATCTTTCAAAGCTCTAAAATTGAGGGTCGTGGCCGCTTCGTTGAGTTGATCATTGAATAAGGCTACAATTTCCCCGAAACGCTGAATTATGGATTATTTCATGCTTCAAGAGCAGAGTGCACTACTTCTGTGGAAGTTTTACTTCGAGCGGATGCGAATATGAATGTTCAACTGGATGACCAAACAGCGCCGCAAGGAGCAACAGAAGAAGTTTACTTTGGGGTGGCCGAGCAACTACTAGCGGAAACAAAAGGCAATGCACATAGTTATGGAGGCTACGGGCAAACAGCACTTCACGCAGCAGCAGAGGGAGGTCACCTCGAGGTAGTCGAACGACTACTAGAAGCAAAAGCCGATATTAATGCTAGGGCTGGAAGGTATGGCGGGGAACAGCATTCCAAGCAGCAAGAGAGGGAGATCACCTCAATATCGTGGATCGGGTGGAGCAATTCAATAGTAGAAGGTGAATGAGAATAAACCCTATGGATGTTATGAGCTATATCTTTGACAATGTATTATTATGCCTCTCTTTAACCAATGTCTTTATATCATACTTGGGCCTAATCTGGTAGCTAAGCATCGTAATTTTCAAACTTGCGAAATTCCCTCGATGCCAACACAGATGAGGCGGAGGGCCTTGTTGTCGGATCAGGTACGAGCACAAAACGAAGAAGATCTCTCAACTGCTGCGGCATCTCCACCTTCTTTATCTCTTCGTCGAAAGGTAGGATCGCTTGTAGTTCTGGCATCTCTTGACTTAAAGATCGGGCAGACTTTACTGCAACTTTAAGGATATCGCCCTCGATACTTTCAGGAGGTGGAATCTCCCAGTAGGGAAAAAGCCGCTGTATCTTTACCATAGCCCAAGCCTCGTTAAGCAAAGGATAAGGGCTATCCCATACGCCTAATATACCAGGTTTGATCCAGTAAAGTAGTATCGCGGCAACAGCCCAGACCTGCGATAGCTCAGTGCACACTTGACCTAGAAAGACTTCAGGGGCGCGCATAGCATATGGTTGGGCGTTAAAAAGTTCGCCGACCGGGATAACTATAAGCGTGTTATTAAAGGCATCTTTCGTATATTAATACCTGCTCACCGAGTCCCAAATCTCCTAATTTAGCAATAGGACGATTTATCTAGATATTAGAAAGTAGGATATTAGCCGGTTTATAGTCTAGGGTAATTAGTAAATGCCAGCTCTTTAAAACCAGATATTTTACCTGTATTTATATGTTTATGGTCCTCCAAAACGATATAACTTGTGAGCGCTACTCTTAACAAAGTCTTGATAAGGGAGTAGATTCGAATGTTAGGATAGTATTCCACCTCTGCGAGAGTAGTATCCAACCATTCCAAAGCGATAGTGCTGTCGTCGACCGATTATATCATAAATTTTTCGGAAGCACTTCGCCGAGGCGATACCAGGAAGGCTATAAGTTAGAACTTCACGTTGTATATTTTTGGTAGAAATTTCATCACTGGGCGATGCGACTTTGATCAAAGCCCTAGGTAGCAACGTTAGCCTAGAGTCTAGATATGGTTAATGCAATATAACGAACCATTCGGGAACTTCGGGGACGACCCGGGCGCCACGCGCGATAACCTGGGCCTTGAAAACGGTAGAATTGTGCGTGTTATCTCCTTTAACAGGTTCCAGAACGCGGTAGTTCCAACAGGCCCCTCGAAGAACATTCCCAGGAGCAAGAGACGACATTCTTCTTGCCAAAGAGCTCCTTGCAGCAGGTAAATTCGGACCGATGACTGAATACATTGAGGCACATCGAAGCAATCACAATTGTGAGGAATACTGGGTGGCACATGGATGGATACAAAAATGCATGAGCATAGGAAATCATGAAAGGTTGATGACTGAGAGAAAACCTGTTGCATTTGCTAGCTAAGAGAGAGAGAGAGAGAGAGAGAGAGAAACAACGATCTCAACAGATGTTGAGGAGTCATACGCAGGTGACCCGTGACCAGCCTGCCCTGACTCAAAATGTTTCGGAATGTCCAGGGGTATAGGGGCCAGGGTTACTTTCGGATTTAATGCATACAATAGTGCTTAATGCCTTAATTTGTTATGGCAGAAAAATCAAGATACTACTTGAATTACAATTACAGAGAACTTTGGCAAGGAGCCCCGAGTACTAGACCTTATCTAAAAGCGCATATAAGGCGCCAGATCGATCTCAAATAAGAAATAGTACATTAAACTAAATAACGAAGATGTAACAGCTACGCGGAGAGATGTAATATGTAAGATATTAGTGTCGGTCTGTAAAGACGTAAGTAGATCTACAAGAGCCCGTGGGCTTCACTGCGCATGAAAACGCTTTAGTAAAAAGTCGGCCAGATTGGCATATCGTCCCTGGCTCACATCCTGCTGAGCCAGAATCTGTTCGGCCACATCGTGCCCCCAAACAAACTCAGAATGAAAGTTGCGCAGTTCGGATAGACGCTGGCGGAGCCACCTTTGATGTGTTATATCATTGGTTTCAATGATCGCCATCAAGAGCGGCCAGTGTAAGCGCCTGAGGAGCTTTGGATCAGATAAGAATTGTTTTTGGCAAATGTCAATGATCCCTGCTGTAGCTTGTTGGTGAATGCCTAGTGGTAAAGCACTGACGCAGAGAAGCCGGCGGTGGAAAAGAACCTGGCCGTAGAAGGTAGAAACGGCCATGTATATGGTATTGAGCGTGCGTCGAGCGGAAACACTGCCGGCAAATTTCGCAGTGATGAAAAGGTCGGAGAATTTCTAACCACAATCAGCAAGTCACTCGACATCTGGAGGGGGATTATCTATACTGACTTCTCGGGTGGCGAGGATCTCACGGAAAAGGGGTTCTGCGGAGTCGGCGGCACCAGCCGCGGATTCGACGAGGACCTTCCAAGTGCGATGGCGTAGGCAAAATCCGGCATGCAATAGCTCTAGAGCTCTATAATTTTCAATGTCGTCTAGAACTTCCTCCTCGGGATACTGCTCGCCCCAAAAGCATCGGCCCCAAAGACGGGCACATCGATAAAGGTGGTCCGGCTGCAAAGCGGGGTTCCCAGACTGGGCCACATAGTCGTTAAGTGACTCGGTAAGACCAATGGGACGACAGCTAGCATCGATATATCTGTTGATTCGTTAGTCGTAGTCGTTTTTTGGTTGACCGCTGGGGATGAATCACAGAATCCATAACAAAAACTGCTCGGGAATGAAGGAGACCTTGGCCATGGTCACGGTATCACCGGTCAATGTGTCGATTCCGGGAGAGAAGAACATATCATCAACATCTTTAATTCGGAATAGTTGTGGATGTGTTTCCAGAAGTGAACGCACGCCCTGCAGGTGGAATTGAAGCTGGATTCCCATTAGCCGACTAATAGTGAACACAGTCAGGACACAAGATTCTTACATGGCGTACTGAGTGTCCGAACTGCCACTCCCATGCTATCATCAAGAATACAGTGGCAAAAACTGTCTCGACATCTTCCAATGAAACCTGGCGCGGCGTCTCAAGTAATTGCCTGAAATCTTTAACCGCTTGGCTGTAATGGTACTGACCATGATCCTGGGAGCGCACAATCAGCCCATTGCGATGCATATCAGATGCACTTAACGCCAATATCATCCTCATTATTACTCTATTCGATGCGGCTGGACCTTCGTAGAGATGGCTAATTTTGATCAGTTAGCCAGTTGAACTTTATTGTAAGCCATTTCTCACACGCATGGAAGTCTCACCATAAGCCGCTCCAATTCCATCTCTTCATGTAGTAAAATACGAGTGAGGAGGAAGGAAAGTACTGGAAATATTGTTGATCAAGAGAGGTGAGTGTCAATGAATTGGCGCACGCGACATTGACGTTCAAGGAAGGGTATATGGGGGTCGAAATTGGCGCTGGGTTGAATGTATCAAGACAAACATCCGATGTCCAAGAGATCGGCGAGAGACTTGTGGAAAGGGCATCTGGTTGGAACTCGATAAGGTCCTCGGCTTTAGGTATTGCCCAAGAGGGTTGTTCGGTGGTTCCGGGTGCAGGTTTCAGGTGACGAATTTGCGTACTTCGTCCATGTTTCACTGGTATCCCCCATTCGCAATTTAGGCGCAAGGATGAGCATCTTGCACAAACTGGTTTCTCTTCACCGCACTTGACCTTGCGACGGCGGCAGGTACTACAACCTAGCAAGAAGTGTTAGTAGGCGATGTAGATAAGGTAAAAGTAATATCCTACCACTCTTGGAACGTGGTCCATTACGCCCAAAACCCTGCATGGACATGAACCAACAGGGATCAACCTGCAGGCATGAGCGAAAAGACCGAAGAGAGCGAATTGAAAGAAGTAATAATGAAAGGGTGTCGGGACAATTGGACGATCTCAGTGCCGAGGCCGATAAGATAACGCGGGGAAGGCTGAGTCATCATGACGTTGCTCCGACTATTTCCCTTTTCGGATGTCTATTGGGAATTCACGTTGTTATGCCGACTCTTATGACTTCAATTCGGTCGCAAATGGTGAAGCACTAATACATCAAGACTTTCGATGGTGAAAAAATAAATGGGCTTTATGGCCATTGGAAGTGTTATATACTAAAAATCTACTCCTCCCGCATAATCTCGTCTTTCCATTGGCGCCGCGCCACATCATACATATCATTCTCCACAATCATATCCCAACCGATCAATGCCAGTGATTTTCCAACAATCAATGCCTCAGCATGAGCTTCATCTGTTCCAGCTGCAGCTGCAAACGTCGGATGATGTGGAAACGAAGTTGGCGGAGCCGGAATCGCAAACATTGTATGAAGCGTGGGGGTCTCGTAGCTGACATTTCCTTATGGAATTACATGGGTTAGTTCTATCAATTCGAAGGGACTTTTAGGGCTTAGATACCAATGTCAGACGACGCTGTTAGAACCTTGTCATGGCGCTTGAGAACATTGCGACCATATCGTCCCATGTGAACCTGGTAGCGTTCACAGAGAGTATCATTCAATCGGACATCGGTATAAAGTTCATCCCTTGAAGCAAGTATATTAGTGACCATTTCGTCAAACATGGCCAAATGGGTACATACTCATCAATCTTGACTTGACAACCGGTGGCCAACGCACCGGCCTCAATGCAATTACGCAATTTACCGATGAGAGTATTCAATCCCTTCAAGGTAGGGCTGCGTACCTGCCAGAAAGCTTTCGTATAAGCCGGTATCACGTTGACTACCTTGGGTGTATCCAAGAAAGCACAATGAACACGTTGATCCGGAAGAAGCTGCTGTCGAAGAACCGCAACGTTGTTATAAGACGAGACCAGAGCATCAAGCGCGTTGATCCCTTCCCAAGGGTTTCCACCGGCATGAGCATTCCTGCCCGTGAATTCGCCTATATATCCGTCAGCATGGGATACAAAAATCAGAATTGGGGCGACTCGCAGTAAATATTCTTGCGGGCATTCATCGGCGTTCCAGCTATGCCATCAGATGGCTCTTGGTCAGGATAAATCTTTTTGGGTCCCGGATGACTGCAAGTCAAGTCAGCATATAATGTTCTACAAATGCTAGGATGTATCTTACGCTATTAGCGAGATGTTAACATTCTTGTAAGCGCCGGCATCAATCAATTTGGCCTTTCCGCCTCCACTTTCCTCAGCCGGAGTGCCTAACAGCTGGGTTCTACCAGGGATACCAAATTTCTTTATGGCAAACGACAGCGCAAGGAACGCAGCAATACTGCTTGTCGCTATCAGATTGTGACCACAGGCATGGCCAATTCCAGGTAATGCGTCATATTCTGCGTTGAAATTGATCAACCGTCCATCAGTTCCACTCAAGACCTCAAAGGAGGTATCAAGACCATAGGCGTGGCGAGTAACAGTAAAGCCTTGTCCTTCGAGGAAGTCACAAATCGTATCGTGGGCGCGGTGCTCCTGGTAAGCAAGCTCTGGGTTTGACCAGATCTGAGAATAATCACCAACATGTTAGCCTTGCACGTACAATGCTGACCATAGGGACTAACGTACTTGATGATTCAATTCCCGCAATTCCTGTTCTAATTCCTTGAGCGAGGCATCCACAGAAGTCTTCACTTCCTCGATATTGATGGTCGTAAGAGTCATAGTGATTTAACTATCTTCCTCAATTCGAGCCCTGTGAAATTGGAATCCGCCTTAGACAAAGGTCCAGTGTATAATTCGTATTAGAATATGAGCAGCTTTCAACCTGGATTGGCACTTGAACTTGATCAAATAGTATCCGTGTGGCGTTTGCCGATATAAGAGGGGAAGGCGATGCCGAACTACATGCCGAACGTTGTCCTATCGCCAGTGTGACAATGGAGGTAGTAGTCACGAAATTACGCTTATCATTTGCCACAAACTTCGCAGTCTAATTTTACCTAACACTATGCCTCTTTACCATTTTCGCCGTTGTTGTCTTTGACTTTTTATCGGGGGCTGTATGGAAAGTGGGTTGCCGATGAGCATGGGCATCCACATTGCCGACGAGGCAATATGATTCGTTGGACTGCCGATATGGTAATGCCAATATTTTTGCGCCTCACGAAGTCTATACAAACTCGAGTATCTGGCTACAATCAAGACCTACATGGATCTTATCTCGGCATCCAGAGTCGTCTCTGTTTGCCGTCCAGTTTTCCCGTGTTCATTGCGAAAGATGTGGTTTTCCCCGCCTATTCTTGCAGTAAAACTAGCTCTTATCAACGTAATACTGACTGGACAGCTCATGAAAATCATTGGTCTGGTTTCCTATCAGCTATTCCGGTATCTTGTGAGTCGCCATCGGCTTGGCCTCACTGCCCTGAAGTCATATAGCCCTCTAGGACGCCCGCAAATTGGTAGATAAAATCTAATATCAAGAATATTACTTTCTCTTTTCTCATCTGCCATATACCTATCTTCTTCTCTGCTCATTTAGTCTATTCAGTATGGGACAACAAGATCTCCCGTCCGGAAGTACGAAACCAGACCTTGGAATACTCAAGGTTGAGTCGAGTTCTGCTGTTCGAGATGTCGATCTTGGACAGCTGTTTGAGGTTGAAACAACACCAGAAATGGAGAAGAAGGTTTTGAGAAAGCTAGACTTCTTTTTGATTCCTCTTATGGGCGGTTGCTACATGCTGCAGTACATTGACAAACTAGCCATTAGCCAGGCGACCCTTTTCAATCTTCGACAGGACTTGGTATTTCCCCTTTCAATTCAGTCTTTTTTGTCTTCGATACTAATATGCTTCCTTTTGACTAGGGCTTGGAAGGCAATGAATATAACTGGGCATCAGCCATCTTTTATTTTGGATATTTCGCATGGAGTTGGCCGAGTTCATATCTGGTTGTGAGGTATGTTTGAGAGATGATGCATAATAACAAATGCTAATTATGAATTCTAGGCTTCCTTTAGGCAAATATCTCAGTTGTGCTGTCTGTGTTTGGGGAGGTTGTGTGATGTGTCACGCCGCTTGCACAAACTGGGCTGGTTTAATGGCAGCGAGATTCTTTTTAGGCGTTGGAGGTGGGAGTTCCTCTACCAATAAATTCTGATTTGGCTAACAAGTGCATTTTGACAGAGGCATCGATTGCTCCTGGCTTTGCGCTGATAACGGGAATGTTTTATACAAGAGCGGAGCAGCCAGCACGACAAGCTGCATGGTTTATTGGTAATTCTATTGCTGTTCTCCTTGGTGGACTGATTGCCTACGGCATTGGCAATATCCACGGCACAGCTGTTGCCCAATGGCAACTGTTGTTTCTTGTCTTAGGCGCCATCACTTCTCTGTATGGCGTCCTCTTATTCTTTACACTACCGGACTCACCCGCGAAGGCTGTCTTTCTTAAGCCAAACGAACAAGCGATCGCCGTCCACAGAACTTTGAAGAACAAGACTGGAGTTTTGGACACGGGAAAATTCCAATGGGGCCAGGTTTTAATGGCGGTCAAAGACCTACAAACGTGGTTTTTGGTGCTTTATACACTGTGTGTCAACTTCTGCAATGGTGGCCTGACAAGTTTTTCTGCTATCATTATCACCGGATTTGGATTTCCCCATTTAGAGGCTCTTCTCATCCAGATGCCTATTGGTGGCGCCCAGCTTGTCTTCCTCGTCCTTACTTCGGGGATTGCCTCCCTCGTTCCAAAGTCTCGCATTATTATGATGATGGTCAATACTTCAGTGTCGATGGTGGGTATGATTTTGATTTTGAAGCTGGATAGTGATAATCAGGCAGGGAAGATGACCGGTCTCTGCCTCGGTGGTGTCTTCGCTGCCAATATCCCGCTGTCACTCAGTCTGATTAGTTCGAACGTCGCTGGATTTACCAAGAAGAGCACTGTCAGTGCCCTCATGTTTGCGGCATACTGCGTTGGAAATATCGTTGGGCCCCAGTTCTTCATCCCCTCGGAAGAACCTTCATATCTGGTCAGTACTTCACTCTCATGATCTGTCCTTACCCAGGAGTGCTGACTTGATAAGACCGGTATTAAAGCATCTATGGCTGGACTGGCCTTTGGAATCTTCTTCTTGGCCTGTCTCTATCTGTTTTATGTCTCGGAAAACCGTCGACGGGATAGGCTGTACGGGTCTCCTGTGGAGATGAGCGAGACCGAAGAACTGCAAGACGAGCTGTCTAACAAAACCGATCACGAGATCGAAAGTTTTCGATATGTGCTTTAAGACATCTCACTTCGATATGAACTTGTACGGGGATATGAAGCACATATCTGCTGTCTTCATGCGCCCTGTGATTTCGTTCTTTTGTATCCAACTGTGTGCCAGACGAGCAAGTATTTTCCAACAGGGCCAAACCAATTTTCCTGGTAGGATGGTTGCTCCGGAAGGTAGTTGTTTGACGATTTCGTATGTTTTCGCTGCTTTCAATTTTTCGAATGCAAATGCTTCCAAGCCTGCATGGCTGACTGCCACAACCTGGGATTGTGGCCCCGGAACTCTCCTTCTAGTACGCTCGGTAGACGAATCTGGCCCTTCCAAGATATCAGCTCGATGCCAGGATGCCGGTACACGCTCCCAGACATTAGAAACTGTCGCCCCAGTCCAAAAGTCCACTTTAGATTGCCAGTCCTGGACAGCCAAATCTATCTTAACCAAAGGCCGGAAGTCTTGAAAATCAGAATCACGCCATCTGAGCCAGCGTATTCTATGGCAGGTTTGAGCGAGTAGGTCGTATAGAAACCAGGCCCAAACTCGCGGTCAAAGGGTTTTGAAGAGATATGGAGTGTGAAGAATGCGGCCAGGCTAGCCACTGCCCGGCTGGATAAACCCTTAAAAAGAAGATTGCCATCTTCAGGGTATCTTGGTGAGTTCCGGGTGGGGTTGCTGGAGGATTGCTGTCAGCGGCGGAGTCATCTGTCAACGAAGGTGTGGTATGGTCAGGTAATCCAGCTGGTTGGTGGTTCTCGGCTACCTGCGGTATAGGCAGGGCGGGATATGTTACGTGCCAGGTCGAACTGGAAAGAAAGAGTGCATTCGGACAAGATACTAAACGTGGAGAAAGAAAGGAAAGAAGAACAGAACGCAGAACTACAGCGGGGTCCTTTTACCCCCAAGGGCAAAGCCCTATCCTTGCTTACTTGGCGAGGAAGGAACGACTTCCCCCGAAAGGGAAGGAGCGACTGACGTACGATCCCGAGGGCGAAGGAACGAGTCCAGCAAGTGTCAATCGTGCCAGGATACACAGAAATTTCCCCACACGTAAAAGGGGGCTGGTTGTGACCTGCCAGGTCTTGCAAAGATAGAAGAGTGCGTCAATTCAAGATAACTAAGATGGGGAGAAAGAAGAAGCAAGTTGCAAAGTGGGAAGTAGCCCATTGATATAGCTGCCACTTTGCAAACAATGCAAACCTCGAACCTTCTCTCTTAGCTATTCAGCAAACAATCTATCTAGCAAACAATAACATGCAAACAGTAAGCGAAAAAGTAAACATGAAGCATGTGATACTGGTTCTGTAAAGTTCAACCATAAATTCACACTCCCTCTCTAACATGGCATTCCTTTGATCATCCTCGGCATACTGCAGACTAATGTATTAGGACTTTTATTTTTATTTTTATCAATGACCCTATACCTTCAGAAATAGAGCTTTTGCTCCCCTATTTAGGAGGATAGTTACACAATTTTTGCAGTAACCGTCCAGGCCGAAGCTCCATAACGATTACAGGAGTGAAATTAGATGCCTAAGAAGAAGTCTAAAGCTATGTTTCTGAAATCTATAATACAATAGGCATGTCCTCTATCCATAAGGGTTCCAACAAAGAGATCCCCATTCAACTGGCCTGAGTGTAAACCGTGTCGTCGGTGACAGCTTCTGCTGGCAGCCACTTCCCGGAAACGGTGTTTTTGTACGTGAGTTGGGCGAGTGTAAAGGTGTGGAGCTCGGACACCAAAACCGTCTTCTTCAGGGGCAAGATGCGGTGTACCATGGCATTTTGAGTAAGCATCGAGATGTACTCTTCGTCGGCTACGGATTTCATCGAGGCGTCAAAGGTCACGCGGATCAAGGCGTCGGGCGAGTCTGTGCTGAGCAGCGACGTAGATAAGAGCCACAAGGCTGGGCCAGTCGCAGTCGATGCATCGGCAATGTGCAGTAGGCCAGCGTTGGTGCCGAGCAGCGGGTGCTTGAGCGTGAAAAACTCCATTGTGCCAGAGGCTCCGATGTGGCCGAAGGTGCCGGTGCCACCAGTGGCATTGCCAGCGAGAGTGAACCACACACCACTCAAAGGACCGGTAGCGGAAATCATTCCGACGGCGTTGTTGCCGACGCTGGGCGGGATGGGCATCTGCTTCGTCTCGCCGCTGGTAGCATTGATGCGTAGGATGGACGAGTCATTGTCTTGTGCGACATAGATCAAACCAGTGGTTGGTTCCTCCTTGATAAACACGGGGCTGTTGAGTGCAGGATACAGCATGTAGTCCTTGGCATTGTGGATATCCGCAGAGAACACATAGTAGTTGCCATTTTGCTCGGATGCCACCTTAAGACCGGCCCAGACGCGGTTGCCGATCTCAAACACACAATGCGGGCCGTTCCCCGGCGGTGGGATATTAATAGTCTTCTTGATGATCGGCGCAGTCGAGAGTTTCTTGCCGGGATCCACAAGCAGTAGCTTGTTTTCGCCCTGCAGTGACAACCACATCATGCCGGGGTATATCGTTGATGGCCACACGCCATGGAGCATGGAGGTAGTGCTGTTCTTTCCCATGGGGAACGAGTGGTAAGCAATTGGCTCCTCGGTGGTTGCATCCAACTCGATCTTGATAAGATTGCTGTCAGAGATCTGCGTCAACAAGACGAAATTCGAGTTCGGCACATGTGCAAACTCATGCGTCTGAGTGGCGACAGGCATAAGATACTCGGTGAGGCGGCGGCTCACAAGCGAATGAGAGGAACTCTGTGCCAACACGGTGCTGGCGCTGAGCGCCAGCCCGATTACGAGAGACTTGCAAGCAGAGAAAAACATATTCGAAATGCCCCGCTTGACGTTATCGGGGCTTCAAATGTTGATGTGTTCGCACATGGGAAAAAGCACTCATCTTATATTCACTGCTTCCAAGGTTGTCAGCTTGTCAGCTCATCAGCTTGGCAGCTTGGCAGCTCAGTTTTCTCCTCCACATCTTGCACTAGTGATTTACATAGTAGTTGAATAGTCTAGCCTACTTTATAATTTCTTCTCTCCTATCAATCAACCAATTAAAAATCATAATTTCACCACAATGAGGCAATTCGGAATCTGCGGTAAAATTGGGTAGAAAGCCAGCTTAAGCCGCCCGCGAGTACTCCGTACCTTGGAATGTTGACTTCAGATCCCAACCTCGAAGCGGCCGACCGAAGTTAAATGACCGTACTATTCATTATGAACGCCGAGTATCTTGCTCGAGTATTCCGTGGGCCTTCATTATGTGTGGAATAAAGTCTTGGTGGGCCTGGAATTGGCTTTATTGGTAGTATTTTCATTCCGTCCAAGCTTGCGGGTACCTGAAATCTCTTGCAGCGCCCTACAAGGTACTCAGTATAGCTCAGAAAAATCACGCACAACCCTTTGGCTGGTATATAGCCGTCTTACCACCCCCATACCTGTACCAGGTATGGGTCTGTCCCACATAACGAGAGTTTCTCACAAAACGAGAGATTTCTCTTTTTAAGTATCTTTAATATGGCATACCCATACAAAAGGTACATATACCCCATATCATGTTCTCAACCCTTTGGCTAGTTAAAGGAGAAATAAGAGTATAAATCAATAATAAATTTATAGTTAAATTAATTGGCTAATAAAAGAAGTTTCAGATATCTTATATAGAAAAGTAAAGACCATATTTATGAAAGAGATGTATATAGAAATATCAACGTTCTACCACTTGGAGAATACTCAATATTTCATCCTAATATATTAATAGTAAATAAAATAGACCTCCTTTAGACTATATATCCCCTACTATATCTTTTGTAAGTATTCCTAGAAGTGACAAAATCTCTATTTTATGTTCATGTACCTTTTGTATGGGTATACCATATAAAAGATACTGTCAAGAATGGGCCCTAAACAAGAACCTTGGTTTTTGTTATGGTCTAGTGGTAAATTACGCTGTACGAAATTCAACAGATACCTAAAAAGAGAAATCTCTCGTTTTGTGAGAAACTCTCGTTATGTGGGACAGACCCACCCTAGTTAACTCAGGGTGGGATGGTAAGACGGCTATATGGCAAGCTGCTACTAAGTATGTGCTCTAGCTGGTTACAAGCTTCGCAAATTGAAGGGATAACCCATATACATCGCCGGTTCAGTATAGGCGATTTGTTTATATATTGTAAACCGAACCATAGTGACCGAACACAAGGAATTTAAGGTAAAAGCTATCCATTAGTGGAGTTGTTCCTGACCCTCCAAATTTCAGGATTGGCTTACCAACTCTGCAAGAAAGGTATTGAAAGGGAATAAGAGCCGGATGTTGAGAATGTTCGACATGTAAGTATCGTAACCGAGAGCCACTCATTCTCCGCAGTATAGAGTCTCTCCAAGTCAAGAACATAAGCAGTTACCGAGCAGATAATGCTAGAGCATGCCGTATGCACAACACTCCCAAAATGGCAAGCAGTAATTTATCCGGGAAGGAGCCCTTCTCAAAAGCCTTATGTTCTGATTGGGTTTGTATAGAACCACGCACGGGTACACACAAAGCCAAGTGCGCTAAGCCCAAAGGGCCAAAACTAAACTACATTAGTCCTCTGCCACAGGTCCACTTTGCCCTTGGCTCATGTAGCCAATAATATGTCCTTCCTTCATCCAATATCTGTAAGTCGAGGTGACGGCGGAAACACCACGAATGTGCGTGGTTTTGCAGTGCACGTCTAGCACAGCTACCCGCCTAACGACACGGTATAGATACAGAGTGACCTTACCCGATTCGGTTTAGCGTGACTTTCCATGCTCTCATAGTATGGCGGGTCCATCATGAGGGAAGTCGGTGCTATAAGAGGGAAGGCTCATATGTTCAACCAGGAGTCTATGCAGTCGAATGCCTGTTCCCTTGATTACTATTATAAGGCACGATAGGTAGCACAACAACACACATCAATGACACTTGTTTTCAGATCAAAGGAATTCAGTGAATTTCCTCAAAGACCCGAACAATGAATGATTTCCCCTTGATAACCACCTTCTCCCCTGGGATCTTCCATGCGCCAATACCCTCTCCATCAAACCCATTTTTGATTGATGGTACGTCACCTGCATCAGGGCCGATGACATATTTCTCCTCCCATCCAGAACCCCACTCTTCCCTTCTCGCACTAACTTCACCTCCGGACCTCTTGAGAGACCAGGCACCGGCCTGATCCTTCTGGCCGGAATGTGTCTGAGTCTGCTGGAGTGCCAAGTAGGTTCCCCAGATCCGTCCCAAGAAGACCTTGGTCACAGTCACCTCTTTTTGCTCACCAACGGCCAGAGGAGCATCATCTGACTCCAGAATCCAGGAGATTCCTTTCTTCGCTCCTTCAGGACCCTCCTTGAAGGGCAGCTCTTGCCAAACTTCTTCAAAAGCCGTCATGGGCTCACCGGGCAGATCCGCCCGGGGCATCTCTCCGCACTCGAGGTCGGTACCATCGGCCTGGGGACTGAAGTTGCCAATATCCACGATACCGATCTCATTCAGGGAGTCCAACTCGCGCGTGAAGAGCACCTTGACTGTTTCTTGTCAGTAACCTTCAATCAAAAGGTATGCACGACATTTAATTTCAGGGCAACGAACGTGGAATTTCTTTGGGATTCTCCTCAATTCTAGTACCAGCCATTGCCCAGTCAATGGCGCCGGATTTCTTATCCATTCGCAAATCCACGAACCATTCTCCCACAGAAAGAACAATCGTATCAGTCGTCTCCTCAGGAATTTCAGGAACCCATCGGAGTGAAAGACGGGTTGAGAAACCGCAAATTGATCCTAGTTGAGCACCGGTGGCAGACATTGTGTATGTGAAGTGGTTTGTGGTTTGAATGTTCACCTGGCCAGTCTAGTTATAATCAATAATCTTATCACAATCGCCGAGGCAGGACTCGGTAAGTAACACCAATTGAGTTTCGCATCTCAATCTAACTGTCGCCTGAAGTTCCTGCATCAATCACCCCCCGCGCTGCCCCAGCTTACGTAACCCGGATGTTCGCCGAATCGGGGATTTTGAAGCGATTCAACGATTGGCGATGGAGAACGGTGGGGTGATTCAACTAATGGTGTTATCTAATGCACTTCGAGTTCATTGGACCGCTGTCGTTGTAAGTGATTGAGCCAATAACTGCATTCCAAAGCATAAATCGGTTATCAAAATGTCTCGAAGAGTTTCGGGCCATTAGCTTCCAGCGAAATGTATCAATGATTTGCGTTTTTGCTATTTAGTATCTGATAAACTAGAGGTTCTTTACTATCTTCTGTCAAATATAGAGCCATCTAAGATAAGCTCGATTGGCACTCCACACCAATATCACCATCAATTCCATCACAAGTAATCACTGATGGGGTACACTTGCCGGACAAGGTGCCATGAATATTCTCGAACTTGATGTTCGTGAAATTGACAGCGGATGGGTACTCGGCGCAAGTGGTGCTGTTAATGTTGAATCAAGGACAATGGGACTATCGGTATTTCTAACGTGGATGTCCTTAGAGGTGATATTGTTGATACGACCGAAGCCGACGTCGGGGCCAGCCTAGGCCTTAGCTCCGGTCTGTGTCATATCAGCGAGTGCATTATTGAGAAACAGAATTATAACTATCTTACCTAGCTGTTCAGGATAGTAACATTCTCGATCCAGGCGTTCTTAATGATATCCTCGACGCCAGAGTACTTCTAATACTTCCTATACTCATGCCGTCGGTGTTATTGTACCGCGGGTTCTACACGAAAAGATTGGCATGTAGTATAAGCTTTCTACCTAGCCGGTCGGAAGGATTCAACACCCCTTAGAGTTTCTTGCTAGCCTGAACTAGCCCATAGATACAGCTGACGTTACCAGACCACCAAGCCACGGAGCGCAGGAAGCTCGCAGGCTTGGTTGTGATGTTTGCGTAGAGAATACTATACACCACACGCGAAATCGAGTACCAAACACCGATGGTGTTGATCGTCTCGTTGGGAACACCGGCAAACAGTGAAATCAAAACTGCATTATGTAATCAGTATTTCTGCCGAGGTCCAGGCACGAAAGGGGCAAAAGCTTAAGCAAAGAGGGGGATCTTACTGGCCGCCACAAACAGAGGGTAGCCCTCCTGAGCATTCGCATGGGCCGCCTCGCGACGCTTCAGCTTATTGAGCGTGTCGCGGCTGATTTTGCCAGCCTGGACCGCCGCCTCGCCGTAGGTAGTCAGGTCCTCGCGGGGACAGACATTGTTGTCGATGCCGAGGCGAATCTTCGCGTCACGGTTGCTCATGAGACAGAAGGCCCAAACCCAGTTTGCGATGAGGAAGCCGGAGGCGTGGTTGGCGGCCGTTTGGCCGGGGGCGGCGCGGAGGCCAATGGTGGTGAGGAGAGCACTGGGTTGGTTAGCTTCGTTGTCGGTTCAGCGCACGATTAGGGTCACTCACGACATTGTGTGTGGATTTGTGTTGTTCGCTCAAGATGCGGCTGGGGGAGGTCTTATAAGCGTATGTGAGAGAGCGAGAGCGAGAGACCGAGGAATGAGATCATGTTTGTCGATCGGATCCACTTTCAGCAGTCAGGTTGTGAAGATGAGATCACGGCTGTCTGCACTTTTGATTCTGTGCTTGTGCTTGAAATTGGGTTGTTCTGAACATGGCATTTGTTCTGACGTGGCATGGAATTGACACATGTGACCATCCATCGTTCAGCGTTTGCAGGATTTACATCAGCACATTCGAAATTTGTTCTAGAGATCACGCTGGCCTTGGAAATCTACCCATGCCTCGAAATGGGCACAAACTCTTTCGAGAGAAGCCCCATCAAATTGCGCAGGATCATCTATAATCGGCGACAAGTGTTTGGCCCAGATTTGATCGGCGTTTCCATCCCCAAGCCTTTCTTTCCCCCTTGGATCTGCAAGAAATCCTTTTTTTATATAGGCCTCAATGTACCTGATGGCGTGAGAGAATGTGGTATTAGATTCAGCCCTGTGAGTAGTTCGATAGATAACATATCCACAATCCGGGAGCGGCGAAGTCTGCTCCGCAGCTCGCCATGGTTGCGCGTGACTGGTCTGGCCGAAGTCGCGAGAGGAGAAGAGATCGAGTATATGAGGAGGGAAAGCTCCGAGCTCCAACATGCCTAGAGCTAGAGGGGCTGATCCCAAGACGGTCCGAGTCATGCTCTTAATTCGAGTGTTGTGTTGATATAATCAATTCACTCTGAAATCATGCAGCTGTTGCATTCAACAAATTTTTCAATCCCCAGCCAGTCCATGTAATCAACGCCTGTCAACGGTAAGGTTAGATTATGGAAGGTGGAGTATATCACCTCTGCTTCATTGTTCATTTAGAGATGATCAGTCACTGTTGTTTGACACTCCACGGTACGGACCTACCTCCAAGTTGGAGCAATTCTTGCAATTAGTACAATTTATCATGTTGGAACTTTGCTTGCATTGTTCACAATCGTTGCAGTCACTGCAAAATGAACAGTCGGTCAGAGCACAGACGAAGCCAAGCAGAAAGGGAAAGCGGGCGGTACACAGCGAGAAGTTGAAGGGGCGATGACAAGGACAGAGAGCCTTGAACTGAAAGAGTAGAGGCTAGAGCTAAGAGCGAATTTGTTGTACCCATCCGATATAAGATTACGATTGTGCGTGGTATAGGACTACATGATTGTCCCTCATAACTGGCCCAAATTGCGGGCGAAGACCCACTATTTTAAGATTTTGACCTGCCACGCCACCATCGACTAAAGGAACACACAGGCCTTTTTTTCCCTCATTTCTGGCGCCAAAACATTGGGGGCGGCCCCCGGTAAGAAGTACGAAGTAGAGCCCCTCGGCTGCATTGTGGCCTGCCATTGGCTAATATCCGAGTCTTACCTGCATTGGGAAATGATCAATTGGTATTCAATCGGCATGATTGACTCACAATATGTAGAACCCGTACAATTTGATGCGAAATGGGGAACTTCATCTCAGTTGAATACTTGGCAGCTGGTCTTGAATGTATACCTCCCCGAAACTCATCTTGACATTGGTATATCCTATTTTTACGTCCATGGATTCTCCGTAGTTACCGCCCCCACCCGGGCAGTGCCTACAATGCAGTGATCGGCGGGGGCCATTATTTGCACATAAAACAGACTAGCTTACTAGTCTCGCATGCCGCCTTTTTAACTCACCGTTTGCCAGGACCGTAATAACTCATGTTGTTTCCCCATCGCAACACTTCTGCCAGGCCGATTCCGCCCCGTATCCCTTTACCTTTGATTCTAAGCTCGCGTCAATCGTGTCTTAAGCGCAATGTCCGAGGAATATGTAAAGGGATACGCTATTCGTCGAAATAGCACATGCGAGACCGGCGAAAACCAATGTACGAAAAAAGCGACATGGGGTGACTACCAGGCGTGTTGTCCTGGAAATTCTTTCTGCTTTGATTCCGATACTGGAATTCCCAATATCATATGTTGCGACAATCACAACAATTGCACGCAAGCTATATCAGTCGCTCCAGCATGTGCTGACAGGAGCTGGAATCTATTCGACGGGAATGGTTCTTTCTGTTGTGATCAAGGAGAGTCGGGATTTCGTGTTGAAAATAGAGTTTTGGTTGGTTGCTCTGAGGCAACATCCCCGGGAAATGCTAGTTTCATCACCTTGCCAACGATATCGGTCGGTTAGTTTATCGCATACCGACGACATTCAATCAAAATGACCGATTAACACTTTCTCAGGTAAATCTGTCGCAAGTTCAACAGCGACGTCTTCATCATCGCCCTCTTCATCATCGCCCTCATCCCCATCAACCTCGAAAGTAGCATCAAACAGCTCGAGTGCTTCCTCGTCTACCAACGTAGGCGCAATCGCTGGTGGTGTTGTTGGCGGCGTTGCTGGCGTAGCTGCTATAGCTGCCATCCTCTTTTTCTTCGTTCGGCGCCGCAAGCAACAAAATACCCAGACACTAGCCCAGACACCGTATTCGCCTCCAGTGTATTCAGAAGTCGGGGCTGGCCTACCCCGAAAGGAGCTTGATGGCCAAACAAGATCAGAGATGGATGATACCCCTCTTCGCGAACCACAAGAGTTGCCGACAAGCCATTGATTATGAAATGATTTCTGCTTTCAATAACAGCCCTGATTATATGATAAAACACGCTTGACTGAACAGGGGCTCGGGGTTTTTCAATGCATTCCATGGATGATGACCCTTTAGCGTTTCTGTACTCTTATCTTAGCTCCCGGATTTTACTCGAGCATGAGGCCGGAATGAGAATTGTGGCCTTTGCGATCGTGACGACGAAAGAACGCTACTGAAAAATTTGACTATTATGGTAGTAATATAAAATATACTAAGCGATGGGGAAATGGATCGGTGATACCTTACAAGTCAAATACACAAAGATATGACTGACTGGGAAGTGATACGCTTTCGCAGGGGGTGGGTGAATCTTTATAAGGTAGACTGTTGTATGAGTGGCACTTTTTACACCGCCTAGCCAACGCCGAATCAAGTCTGCAACTTCATTGAACCGCCCCTGTTGTAGTCTGGACCTGCTCCAGAGACTCTGCAAGAGACGTCAAGCCTAGAGTATCAGGCAAATTTTCTCTCATCATCCCGGTGGATTTCTCACAGCGACAACATCTAATCACGATGACCCACGAATTCGAGTAGGTACCCCGCCTGCAGATCTAGAATATAGAATATACCCATACTAATAATTTCAGATGTCCATATGCTGTTGGTAATGTGATCAAGATTCACTTGGAGACACCAGATGGATTGGAGGCAACAGCAGATGCCAATATCATTAAAGTCTTCGAGCCGTTCACTCTTTCCTCTGTGATGCTTATTCGAATGGCCTGCTCATCTTTAAGATTGGAAGGCGATATGATTTTGAAGCTCTTTGATCGGCGATTTGCAACGCAGCTTCGGGAAGACGAAAAGATTCGGCCCTGGAACCCAGATACAGAGACTGAGTACCGTCAATTTATCCTTGATGGCGGTGCATCAGAGTTTGTTACTCAGCTCAACGACGGTAAAACACCTGAAGGCAGTACATGGAGTGCGGCTATGGACGAAACTTATCTTCATGATCACATGTTGGATCTGTACAAGACAGAGGTCCAGGTATATAGCAACCTGAAGGAGATTCAAGGCACCGACATACCAAAACTCCTTGCATCCGCTATTATGCCTATTCCCTACCCAGGTCAAACGAGCAGCGAATATACCGATATTCCTGGGATCCTTTTGCAATATATCGAAGGCTTCCCATTGACCGATATTGAGGAATATACACCAAGAGAAAGCTGGCAGGCCATCTGTGAAGACGCCATTCGAGTTATCAATCGTATCGGTGATCTGGGAATACTTAATGAGGATGTTAAACCAAGGAGCTTCATTGTGCGTGAGGACGCGGGGAATAGATTCAAGGTGACCATGATCGATTTTGCGCTATGCAAATTCCGTCAAGACTATAAAGATGTCTATGACTGGGATAAATGGAAATCGATACAGGACGAAGAGGGGGCAGTGGGGTATGTCATGCAAAGGCGTTTAAAAGGTGGATTTTCTTACCGTCGATCTGCTCGATACGAAAAGCTAGATGAGGAATTCAGAAAGGGTGAATGAGTTGAGACTGTAGGGAAAATAGAAATCAATATCAGGCCGAGGAATATAGCGTCTGTATGTAACGTTCAACCTGACCTGGATTCGAAACCTCGACTATGAGGCCTTTTAGGGACCATCACGACAATGGGTTTTTTGCCAGGCAGAAAATTAGGTAATAAAATAATACCGCCTTAACTAACTAGCCAGGCGCCAACACACGGTATGTGTTTTCGACACGATTAGGTGCGAAGGCTAAGTATAAGTAATATTGATGCCTGATAATCCCGAACACCCTTATTCTGCCCCCTACAACGTTGGTGGCGAAAGGTAAAATCTACTGTTCAATAGTTCTGGGATATCAATTTGAATAACACTTCCCAATAAGGGTATGCCGTGTTGTTGCTTTACCCGTGGCATTCTGTTGCTCTGTCCCAGATGCAACCTCGACGCCTGTATTTAAACAGGAGAGCAAGTTGTGGGGATAAGGATCAACTATACACACTACTCCAGTACACAAGTACCAGTGCTTTCTTTATCAAAGTATATAGCATTACGTTCAGCGCAGAGCAGGCGATGTAAAACCATCATATTTTGGTAGCCGCAGATATTATACATTTCTTTATTAGCATTAAAAAACAAGAATGAAAAAAAGAAAAGAAAAAGAAGAAGAAGCCAGCAAATCCATACCGCCAAGGCTATCACCCCAATTTCCCTTCCATCTGCCGACTCCAGAGTTTGCGGTCGAATCGTTGTTCTAGTAGCGCCTGCGCATCACCCGCGTACATGAAAACTCTACCACCGGTCTCCTTGGGCTCCTTCTCGTCTTTGAAGT